TCATGTACTTTGCCAACAGTATTTTTGCCTGTGTGAGGCCAAAACCCAAATGTCTTCTGATCTTTGTAAGCAGGTAGTAGTCTTTTGTTGCAGAAGAGGGGTATTTTCATGCTGCAGACTGGATGTGAACTCCGTATGGTTGTTTTTAGAGAGAGCCATTTCAACTTGCACTGAAATTTTTCTTGAAGAATGCCCTTATGTAACAGCCCTGCTTTCTAATTACAGACTGTAGGGTTCTTGGGAGCTGGAAATCCAGCAGAGAAAGAATTTGTGGTAGAATTAGGTTTTGAAGCTTATGGAGTTCTGAACCCACCAAAAAAAAAAAAAAGAGCTGAACAAAGTAACAAAGAACAGACTGTGTGTGATTACCAAGCTATAAACCTTAACATGCAGTGCTTAAACATGGAGGAACAAATTTTCTAACAGGCTGGTGCTATTGTGTGAAGATGGATTTGAGCCAAACTCCCAGATTTGAAACCCCATGAACTTCAGTAGACCCCGGCCAGTCCTTGGCTTAGGTTCATCTCACACGTTGCAAGCACAGAAGCACTGTTTGAACGTTCACAGTAGCACCTGGAGATCCAGAAGGGGGAGGATTTCCCTATTTGCACATGCAAGGGGCGTGTAAGTGCCAATATATGAACATTTGTCCCCTTGATCATTATGAGAACGTTTTTAGAGCATCCTTGAAAACACACTGCAGCGTAATACGAAGGGAATGTTTCTGCCATGTATCCTCAGCACTTGAATCTGTTACTGACTGATCTCTTTAGTGGGAAAAGCTTTATATGGCTTCTCTAATTTTACGCAAATAATGAATCTCTTGCCCATTGTCCTCACCTCTGCGGTCCCCTCTGACAGCTGACATCAGCTTACTTGGTCGCATGGTGGGTTCCTGCTCAGAGGACAGCTGGTTTATTACAGGTTTAAGCAATACTGCCTTCTGAAGGGGGACTTTAGTGGGTAGATTTCAACAAATTATCAGTTATGCCCAGACCAACTGGAGAGATTTATGTGCTGGCTTTAATAAGCATTGTGTTCGTTTATTTGCTTTCCCTTTTGGAGCAGAGTAAACTCTGGTTTCCTCTGAGCTGTGCAGCTGCTGTAAAGGGTAATAAGGCAGCAGTGTCAGGCACAGTGGTGCGGTGATGGAGAGACACATCCCGCACTTGCTGTATCTGAGGGTTGTGTCTGGAGCTGGAGAGGGGAAGAGTTGAACACTAAAATGTGCTACATGCAATTAGCAGTTTATGGGGAAGCTCATAAGGGATCCAGCTGGTGCTGGCACCGGGTTGTTAAAACTGTCGTTCTGAAGAAACTGGAAGAAGAAATTTTAAAAAATGCGCGTGCAGTGTTCAGTTAGCAGAAGTTGTCAGAGCATTCTAGAATATTTCTTATTAATAAGAATATAATTGCCAGCTTTGGCATCAGATGTACTTTGTGTGCGTTTCCTGCGGAGAAACCTAAATGAACATTTATCACTGAGGTAGCAGCACCAGTGTAAAAAATGCAGGAACACATGGCTATATGAATATTTTATGGTTCTGTGACAGAGCTTTCATCAGAGCGTGCCATCTCCTTGAACTGAGCTGTCTGTATGACACGGGGTTGTGATTTATGCCCGTTCGCTTGACTGCCACGTGGGACCTGCCAGGGTCCATCCCATGAGCAGCTGCAGCGGGCTGTGCTTTATATTAAAGCAGGTGGAAGATGATTTTACGATTCTATGCTGGCAGAAGTGGAGTGGTGTGGGTCCATCCCCTTTTCAGAGTCAGATTGTGGAGTGGTGAGGAGCCTGGAGACAAACAGTGGTGACTTTTGTCTTGAGACTAGGTGACACTGTGTTGTCGTAGTTGCAGATTGTCACAGCAATAAGGAGTCATGACAAATACTGTGGTACAACTCCAGGTTGTCCCGACCTCACTGTTTTCTGTCTCTCTGCACTTCTTCAGAATTACCTGGTAAAAGCTAAATGCTGTAAGTCTAGATCTAGAAGTGAAGATGTTTTTTCGAGCAGTTAGTATGAAAATAAAAGGGGTAACGCTGTGTCCAGATTGCCATCCTTAAACAGGATAGCTCTCCAGACAGAAAACTCTTAGCGCTGTGCGTGCATGACGGCAGGCAGATGCAGGCTGCGAGGACTTGGGAGTATTACGCTGTTCCTTTTCCAAGCCTAGCGTTACCTGTGCTGCATGGCCACACTGGCTGCACACAAATCTCACAGTGGGTTGTTTCCCAGTTTACTCTCCCACATACACTCTATACGCTTGCCAACAGCAGTGTTATTAAGTCAAAAGCTCCAACAGAGATGAGAGCCCTGGTATGCCGTGTCGTAGGAGATCCCTCTTGTCCCAGAGAGTGCACTGACAAGCTTGTCTGAGCTAAATTGAAAGCTTTGTCCTTAGTCTGTTCACCTATAATTCTTCCTCTTTTTAATATAATTTGATCATAAGTTTCTAATTATATGTGAGACACAAAGTGCTTGTTCTATGTCAAAATCTGCACTATATTGTTAGAGTTCTACGAGGTTAACACACGCACAAGGGACTATTGAAACAAGCTGCTGAGAGAGCTTTGTTGTAATACCTATGTACCAAACATTTCTCTGACTCATGCCTCCTGCAGTGATTTTGTAAGTCAGAGCAAAATTTAGACTTATGTTTGTTGTCTGGTACATATTTCTCAAGGCATTGCCAAACAAAAAGCTAAATTTAAAAACTATGACTTTTGTTGTCAGGGGTTCCAGGCATGCCAAAGGAACATGTGCCAGCAATTTTAGGCTTAACGGCCACGTCATTGTGAAGTATAGTTGTTTTTATAGATGCTCTTGGATTATAAAACCTGAGAAACTTGTATTAGCTGAGTTACATGTACTGTCACTGCTTTTTGATTGTTAGTATCACTTTGAGAATTTGTATTGGAATTGGGGAAAAAGTGCACAGAAAACAACTCTTCTTTTGTTTGTGTGTATGACAAAGTTATTGTGTCCAAAGAGAAACATGCTTGTAATGGTTTGATTTGGCTTGCATGCTCATATGGACAGCCATTGGGTCCTGCACATAAATTCTGTCTTTATCTGCATTGTCATGTATTGCCTTCATTTGTGAGGCAGTCTGCCTCCTGCCTAATGATATTTTATTTCTCTGAGTTGTGTGATCAGTTGAGGGGATGACAAAAATGAGAGAGAGATGCAGACTCTCTGAAGCAGGGAGGGGGAGCATGTTTGATCCATCCTACATCATAGGGTCAGCGTAACTGAGCTGGGAAATACAGCGGTATAGTTTCTTCCTAGCTCACACCTGAATCATACATCAATATTAGTATATAGCCCAGGGCTTTGTATTGAAACATCTTTAGGAGTTGTTCCCAGCCTTGCTAACTTCTTAACCATCTGAGATACACCTTGGAGACAGACCGAATGACATCTGACCTTCTGTCAACACAGATAGCTTTCCTCCAGAAGTACTTATCTTGAGTATACCTTAAGAATAAAATGCTGCTGCCTAGTTCATTATCTAAGATACTAATCTTTGAACTGCTTTGTACCAATTTTATTCCCATTCACAGAGGGAGGTAAATATTTTCAGTTAAAGTAATTCTGAAGTTAATGTTTGGCAGAAGGATTATTTCAGAACTTAATTTTTGGACAGAGACTTTAAAGTAAGTCTGGTGAGGGAGACTTCGAATGTATTCTGCATGATTTCTTCAGTTTAGTACAGACAGTATGGTATCTTATTGCTGTAAACGTGACTAGTTATCTCAGAGTAAAGAGTTAGGCTTACATAGTTTCAGTTATTGAAAATATCCACCTTAGACATGGTTTGCTCATGGCCGTGTGTCATCAGCACTGGTGGCTGTCATTTAATTGTCTAGCGGCTGTTCCACTGCATTTCTCTTGCCCACTGTCACTTTTGTGGCTGTGTCCAGCCCTGAAGCATTGTGGATCTGGGCCAGTGATTAATTTCCAGTCTGTGTTACTAATGTGCAAGAATTTATAGTCATCTGTTAGCAATTGAGCTGTAGATGCGAAAGTCCATTCTGTAGGTTCTTTGGTGATAAACAATAGGATTCTGGGCGATATCCGGTACCCTTCCATCACTGATCTGAACCTATCTGTAGTAATCACTGCCTTCTGTTTGGTCTCAGGAGAATGGAAAGATTAAGCTGTTACTGCTTTGCCACTTTTGGTTTTTAATAAAGATCTCTCCCAATTTACCGTAGGAGTGTCAACTCAGTGCTCCCTCTGTCCTGTCCTCTCTTGAGATGACTTGGTAGCTGTCATCCCTCTTCAGTGCTGTGTCTGTGGGATGAGATTCTGAGGTTTGTAGTCAGCTTGTGCTGATCAGCAGGGTCTGGCCATGGACCTTGCGTAGACTCATGTTGCTGTGTAGTGAGTCAGATCTTCTCACTGATCTGGCTTAACTTTAAAAATATGCTGACATGTCAGGTTTTTATCAACTCTGAAAGGGCTGCATCAGAAGTGCTGCTGTGACATATCCTGTATCTCATCGTCAAGGAGAAAAGCTTGGTCTTATGTGTTCCTCACCATCAGTGCAGCTCTGAATATGTGAGGTGCTGTTATGGTGAGAGCATGCTGGAGAGACACGAGATCACAGGGATGGAGGAGCAGCTGTCAGGGGATGATTCATGTTGCTTTATCCACAGTTCTGGTAAAGAGTGGAGCGAGGAGATCCAGTCAAAAAGCTATGCTTGCTGTCATTGTCTTCTCTGCCTCCAGACATTTGACCCTGCCTTGGAAGTTGGTCTTGGGCCAACGGAGAAAAGAGCCATCACTGTTGTGACTCAGAGTCAGCTTTGCTGAAATCATTAGTAAAGCCAGCACATAACCAGTGTGAGACCAGAATCAAGATTTTTGTTGGTATTTTTTCCTCTAACTGGGCTAATGCTATTTGGCTTATGAACTTACTGTGATCTTAGTTTGTAGTAAATGGAATTAAATTTGTTTACTGAACATCAGTTGCTCTCCCTGGCTTTTCTAGGACGAATCCTGGACTTGAAGACTGGAACAGTAAAGAAAGAGGGTCAGCAGTCCTCAATGAGAATGTGCATGGGATCAAGGCGCTCTTTCATTTGCAGGATGAGGTACACGTTTACCTTGTATTCCTGTCATGGTTCCAGCCTCATCTCAGATTATACTTCAGACATTTTGTTGCACTAATTTGACCTTGCTTAAAAAACAAAGCTGTGATAACACACTCCTATTAAACATTTCCAGAATACTTGCTTTTGGAACTGGAGTAAAACTGAAACCTGTCTTTCTTTATGACTAATCACAGAACAGCACCTCATTTGTGTATTGCAGTTATTTTTATCAGTGTGGGGTGTAGGATGCTTTCCCCCCGAGAACTTCACGACAACTTCACCCCTGGAATGGAAGCCATTGTCTCTTCTAGTCAAATTATTCGAATCAGTATGTTGGGAACAAAGCTTTCGCAAGTGTAATGAAAGCCCAACTCTGTGTATTTTTTCAGCAAACCAATAATATTAAAAGAATCTTGAAGACAAACAGGAATTCAGTTGCAAACTTGCCAGCTATGTAGGAATTAACCTAAGCCTGGTATGAATTAACCAAATGTCAGCTGGTTGATGCTAGATAAATGAGTAATTGTTAGAGGGTTTTTATTTTGCAATTTTCCAACTTCTTCTGCATTGCCTGGGCTTCTTTAAAGAGATCTGCCTGCCCTGTGCTTCTGACCAGGGCTTGTGGGCACTTCTGTTATTGTAGTGCTAACAGGATAAAATGCCTGTTGCTATTGCAATAAGTTTCTCTCTGTGTGGTTTTGGGGAAAGTACATAATTGCATCTGCAGCCTATATCCAATATACGTGTTCAAAACAGATGACGCAAAATTTTTATGGAATGAAACGTGCAAAGCGAAATATTTGACACATTAAAACAGATCCCTGTACTTCGGTTATGTGGCAGAATTATTTCAGTCACACGAGGAAACTCAGTGTATGGCACTTGGGTGCCTTTCTAAGGGGTTTATGTACTTCATTCCTGCAAGATCGGACTTCAAAGCTGTAGCTCCTTTTTCCCTCTTAACTGGTGGGAAAGAAATATAGCCTGACAGAGAGACACTTGGGACATTGCTTTTCCTCCAAGCTGCACATAGTGGTCCTGTGAGGAAGGCTTGTGCAAATAAAACCAGGCCTAATGTCCTGTTTTCAGTTGTTACTCAGCTTTTAAAGCAACATCTCAGACTGCAGTTATTTCCTAGCACCCTGATTCTGTGAACTCTGGTGCATGAGAGTACTTTTATACATGTTTTTGTAATTCTAAATTTTAATTGTTCATTCCTTCTCCTTGGCAGTGAATAGTATTTAAAAAGAAAAAAAAGGGGGAAAAAAAAAGAATAATAATAATAATAATAATTAAAAAAACCTTGTGAGAAGAATGAGCCTCAAATAATGTGAACTTTCCTTGTGATTACTTCTTCCATTGTTATTGTTCTTTTTTCCATTGAAAATGAACTGGTTTTACCCTTCAAACTGTTTACTTAGCTTCAAATGGATTGTTACAATTATATAGTTAGGCATAGTTAGAAATATCACAAAATATACATGAACAAGTGTTAAACAAAGTTAATTGACAGTATAAATAGCCCCTTCTTGCAAATGTTAGATTAGTATCTACTAGCACTGTAGCTGGTGTTTGGCAGTCGAAATGCTCTGTCCAGGGGAGCTACTGGAACACCACGATTGTTTTGTGTGGATATTTGGGGGTCTGACTTAGATTCTTCTCTATTTTCCACCCTTGTTTCACCTTTAATATCTATTTTAAATAGTCTTTAGGTTTGGGGAGGCGGGAGGGAATCTTTTTATAATGTCTTCTATTTTTCTTTATAAAATAAAGAAAATATTTGTAGCACACCCAAAAAGCTCAGCCTGTGGAAGCAGAAAATTCTAAGAAAATGTGAATCTGGGACTTTCTGTCAGAAATAAATATCCATTATTGTCTACTTCTGTATAGTAATAGAGATCTTAGAATGCAGTTTCATATTGGATATTTATATTCATCTTTGAGCCATTTCAAATATGAATTTACTTTTAGGTGTGGAAATGCTCCTCTGGATCATTTACCTCTGAACAGAATAACCACCATGAGAAAAAGATACAGGTATTATTACTTAATTTGTCACAATTAGTTGTCATAAGCACTCTCATTTTCCACTGGGCTAGTGCTCACCCAAGGGGTACTAGCTGGATAAACATCTGCCCTAGCACACAGCGTAAAATAGCACCGAGTCGCAGAGGAGGAGAACTCGCCACTGAATTCACCTGTGGCGGAGTCACTGGATCTTTTTACAAACCTTGTGCAAGTCACTCAACTTGTTTGTCTTAAGCAGCTCCATCTCTGAAGTAAGCTTCAGTATGTTTATTGGAGAAATATTATGGAAAATAGGTACAGCTTGAATAGCATTGTAAAGGAGCTGACATTGTACAGAACTCTGGGTTGACACTTGATTGTTTCTAACATAACTTGCAAATATTGGTAAGTCATTAGTAGTCATAGTTTAAAAACATTTAAAAGCTATCCTGCATGTCAATCAATGTGATATTTTTGTGTTTCCTTCTCATTTAGGAATGGCCTTGGCCCAGTAAAAGAAGGCGAAGCCCAGTATGCTGTTGTCCACTGCACTGGCTACATCAAGGCTTGGCCACCAGCAGGTGCGTATCTGTCTCATTGGAAGGTGGTGTGTACTGCAAGACATTTGAAAACCTGGCTCAGGATCCTTTGCTGGTACAGAACCAGGCAGAATTTCAGGGGGGTAACCCATTCGGTCTCATATGGAGAAGCTTTTGTTATCAAAAACTCATCTGTTGTTATTCACTCAGGGCCTCCCTGTTTTTCCCTGTGAAACCCTTTTCAATTTATTTGGCGCAGAGAGCGGGGAGTTGGTGGTAATGTGGGATTACAGCAGCTGGGGCCATAAGTTTTCCATCTGATAAGCCGATATAAAAATGGCCTGATTTTATTAAGGTAAACATGAAGCATTTGTACCACTAGAAAAGGTCAACAAGTGCTTTTGTATTTAAGTACTGAGTTGCCAGCACCTATGTATGAAAATGTGTAATTTCAATGTCGGTGCATAGGGGTGGTATTAGTGGGGACTGATCAGTCTTTGTGATAAGTTCTGTTTTGAGGCTGTTTTTCTGGGAAACAAGGCTTGGCATATTGCTTTGAACTGCAGAGAAAAACATTTACCTACTGTAACTCAGTATTACATATGGGAATATTTACCTTTGAAAAATTCAAAGAGGAGGCAGTGGAGCTCATCCAGACATCATCATAAACTGGATTAGTTGACCTTGGCATTTGCAGTAGCTGAAGAGGCTGTTTGCAATACGACAGCGCCTGCTGGCATGAATCAAACCATGAGTTGTCCTGCCCTTTTGTGGTCATATGCCACAAGCATAAATCACATTTATGTGGGGATTATGAGTGCTAAGAGGTGGTTTGCACCAAGTCTGTACAGTGGTATGCAGACACCAGCATGTGGATGTGAACTTCTTGTAGTTTTTTGCAGTTTCGGAAGAAGAGGAAAATCTCCCCTCTTGTTGCTAATAGTATTTAATATACTTGGGTGTGCTGTAGGAGTTAAAATGTTTCAATTTCATTTCTGTCTCAAAAGAATGAGAGCACAGCGTGTGTACATTACTCTATAAAAATGAAAGAGTTCTTTTGGTTTTTTCCACAGGGATTAATTTTTCTATTGGTAATTTCAAACATAATTGAATTCAGTCTTGATATACTGGACGTCTCTTCAGAAAGGTGCAGGTCAAATGAGATTTCTTTTTTAACCCTTGCTTACCTTGGATTAAAAGCTTGCTGCATGTTATAGGATGTTTAAAAAGATCTAACCCTTCATGGGTATATGTTGCTGATGCAGAGCTTCAAATGCATGAACTGATGTCAGTGCTAGGTTACAACATCAGCAGTATATGACTTCCAGTCGCCATTTCTGCAGGGGAGCAGGCACTGCAGTGCAGGAGCGTGGGATGAAAAGGATCTTCTGGATCTTTGAATGCCCTATTGCCAGGTATCACATTCTAAGTTCCAGTTTACATTAGTGAGGTGTTTTCTCCATTTCCAGCTCTTCCAAAACTGCACTGCTCTCCCATGCTTAGCAACCTCTCTAATTTCCAGTCCTCTCTAGTTTATGGGAAGCTTATGCCAATGTATCCTTGGACTATATTACACTAAAGATCAGGCAGTTTTCCTAGTTTGTGTGTCTCTCCAGTGTTTTGCTGCATTTCCAGAAGGAGGTCATATCCTGCCAGCCTTGACTTTGCACAGCTAAATAAACCCACTTCTAATACCCACTCTCTCAGTGCATTCTCTTTTCTTTACCCTCATGTCTTTTCTCTGCACTTGTTCGTGTTTTCACTTAACTTTTCAAAATGTGGTTCGCCAGAACTCTACATTCTTGTCCAGATGAGATTGTATTGATGTATAATGAAAATGATATTTTCTATCTCGACTGGAATTATATGATGTGATATGTGATATGGCATACTTCTCTTTTGTATGGTGCATCCTGCTGGTATCCTTAATCATCTAATATACATATCAGGCTGCCTTTTTCTCAGTTGTCAACTCTAGGTCTTCCAGTTCATAGCAAAAAATAGCTTTGAGTTGTGTGATATTTCAATTAGTAATACAAATTTCTGCTGCTGTAGTTTATGACTGTTATTTGTCCCCAAGTGCATGCTTATGCATTTAGTAATGTTGAATTCCATCCCATTTCTATTACTCCACTCCTCAAAATCACATGATACCCCCTTATGATATCCCAGTGCTTCTACACAATGTTAATGCCTCCAAAATGTAGCACAATCCTAAGGCATATTCTTGGTTTTGACAGCCTTATGTGGAATTTCAGTGGTCCTTTATGTTACCATCCAAATTGTTACTCGTAGTAGTCATGCCTGAGGGCCTTTTTCAGGGCATATAGTACTGCATCGAGGCCTCTTTCATGAGTGTTTATTTGCCCTCGAAGTCTTCCCTGCTTTGTATTGGCGATTGTCATGTATCCATTGGCTTTCAGAGCTGAATGGGAATATCCATGGGCTGAATTGGTCTCCAGTACATTTGGGTTAATAAGTGGTAACATCAGTGCATTTGCTTTTATTTCCAGCGGTAATTCAACCATAATCTGCAAAGCAAATGAAATAACTGCAGCAGTAATTGAATTTGCTAAGGGTTTTCTACCCTGTAATAAAATTACTTTTGTTCAAATCAGGTAGAGAGTAGCAAGCCTGTGGCCTTTGCATCATCTCTGGATTCTTGGGAATAAATAGGTTTGTGCTAAATCACAGCTGTTTAAAAAGTCAGCTATGGAAAGGATCATTTTCATTTATTTTTCAATTGCCAAGTGGACACTCTAATGTAAACTCCATGCCCTTTTCTTTCAGAGCATGCACATGCATTATACAACTGCTATACAACTCATAAAACAGACTTTCATAAATTAAATAACAAATATTCAGCAAATGCACTTAATCTACACTTAATCTGTTTAGCATCTGATATTTTCTCTTTCTGGGTTGTATTGCATTGTCTGTGGCCAATGTGGGAATTTTTTTAGTCCCACACCAAGTATAACACAATCAGTATTGATACAGAAATATCAAGGCAAGAACTGCTCTGTGAGCATTATTAGTGTGATAGGCTATCAGGTTTGGCAATGCTGCTGCTGTGAATAGCCTATGCTAAATTTCTTAAGTAATTTGAGTACTTTAAACAAGTGAAAACAAATAAACTACAGACAGCTGGCATCAGTATGGTGGCATATTTTAAGGACTGGGTTTTTTCTTTCGAAGATGTAAAGTAGAATGGAAATTCTGTTATAGCTGAGGTCTGCAGTCAGCATGAGAACATTTTTTTCACATCTAGCCTGCCTTTTTTTTTTTTTTTTTTCTTTTTTCTCTTTTATGGAGCAGCAAGGCTTACTTACTGACAGACTGCCGTTAGCCCCCTTTTCACTGAGAAACAGGAGAGAAAACACAGGAAGCACCATGCCTCTTCCTCTGCCCAGAACTGAGCTCAGAGTGTGCAGGACCTGCAGGCAGCACCTGCTTCTCCCACGTTTCTTAGCAAAGCAGCCCCAGGAGTGCTGCAGCCTGTGCTCTCTCTGTGTTCCACTGGAAAAAGGACTGTTTGGCTGTTTCCTTCACACAGTGTGTTTGCCACAAGGAGACTGAGCCACTTTGAGGAGTGTGTCCATTGTTTGTTAATGGTCTGTTCATGTTCCTCCGTTGTGCCTGCAAGAGACAGGTAAAACTAAGCTCAAATGCAAAACCTGGCATATGATCCCTACGCGCTTTTATCCCCATAAATTATATGTTGGCCTCGAGTAATTGGGGTAAACTTTGTATAGAAGTCAAAGGAAAAAGGAGTTGGATATTCCAGACAGATATTCCAACCGGTTCTGTTGTTCATATCTCATGTGGAGGGTAGGTTAGATTAAATAATGACAGTGCAGTGTTGGGATTGTTTTGAATGAGGTAAAAAGACCCCTTGTTTGAAACTGAGTGAGCACCAATTCCAGCCTTTGTCCCTCTGTTCCCAGTGAAGCAGCTTGTGATCCTTAGCCTAGACAATGCTTCAAGTTCATAACCACTCACAAAAGTGAGAAGTGCTGACCTTCTCCTGATCATTCTGTTTTCAACTTAAGCAAGCATTTGCTTTTGTTTTGTTTTGTTTTGTTTTTTTCCCCTCTGAGCATCTCATTCCTGGAAGGAAATGAATCTTATGTGGTACATATCATGTTTTTCTAATAGTTTTTTTTAATGCCATAACAGTTGATGGAAAATATTTGTTGGAGAGAGAAGATGCAGTCTGTCAGGATGTTGCTAGTTTCTGTAAATCAAAGCCAGGACCTGCAGAAAAACACATAGTAAAGAGGAGGCTTAGATAGATACTTATTTCGAAAACTTCAAATAAAAAGTCCCAGAATAATGTAAATTCAAATAATGTTGAAATATTTTTTTTTCTCCTCAGTTTTTTATCTTAAAAAAGAAACACTTGAGTCTTCCAAGTCAGACTTACGGTAACGTCTTAACCACAGCATGCCAAAGCTGTTAGGTTATTTTAAAGTTTTGGCCAGAATCTGGACGTTTGTGCAAAGTACTCCCTCTTCCCATACAAAACAAAATAGTTGCTTGAATATTCTTTGCAGTGCTATCATTTTTAAGGCTTTATTTTTTTTTTTTTTAAAGAAGAATTTATTTTTTGTTGGGATTTTTCCTTGGTATGCTGTAAACATCCACAGCCTGTTTTGTGAAAGCTTTTTTCCATTGTTGTGTATGGGGGATAAAGTCACACAGTGCAGTTTCATGCACAGGCGTGTAACTGTTGGTAATGGTTCTGATGGAGACAGGCATTAACAGGGGATTGCAGCTCACCGCACTGACACTTAAATTACGTCCTTCTGAAGACTTATAAATAATTTGTTTTTGAGTGTTGTGAGGTAAAACCACAAATCTACTAACACTGTTCTGTGTCTCGCAGAAAATATGGGGCAGAAGGATAGAGAAAGAAGGCAGAAAATGAAGCTGTTCTGTTGTTAGAGCCAACTGGAAGCTCATTGGGAAAACTAAAAAGTTCCTTATGTCCATGCAAACACATGCCATTACCCTGTGGGAAACTGCTGGCATAAAGGACACTTGGAAATTAAATATAACCTCTAACGGCACAGCATTCTATTTGTGATGCTCAGTCGCAGGCATAGCTTTGCAAATTGTTGATAATAACTTGAACAAGCGTAGCACTGTATTTATTATTCAAGAGGAGCATATATTTGGCGTTGAGAAATAAAGCCTGTCTCAGGGTTACACGTAAAGAATGTGAATAACTGATGTATGTTTATTTTGTTGATGCCTCCTGAAGATCAGTTTCATGGTTGCTCTTCTGGAGGCTTTTGTGACTTTTTTTGGAAATACTGATGGCACTTGGTGATTGTAAGGACCAGTACTGCATCACGTTAGGAGCTGGACAAACCACTATTAAGTGCTGTGCATGTATCTTTACCTGTCCGTACTGGAGTATATTCAATGGGAAGTATGCTAAAGCATGCATCTACCAATGCATCCTCATATATAAGCTCACCCACAGTTGAATCTTTGTAACTGTCAGCAAAAGAATAAATAAAACAATTTCCCACTATGGAATGCTGTCAGTAATAGCACCTACGTTGCAGAGGAGCGGACAATCATTTTGGTGTATTTTTACTCTAGGCACTCTTAGGAAAGGGTTAACAATTCACTGGATCATGTATTGATTAATTCCAGGCAGATTGGTTTTTATTCATAGAGTGTCTTGTGGGATAACCCAACTAATACATTTTTCCAGTGTGTTATACAGACCAAATGTAATCCATCTTGGTGGGGAGGGGAAAAAAAAGGTGAAAATTAGAACAACAGCCTCTGTTGCCAACAGAGTGACATCAGAAATGGTGTTCCTTAGCTAGGTTTAATTTTGGAGATTTGTTTATGTTGCTTTGGGTTTATTTGGGCAGTAGCAAGCATGGACCAAGTTCCTAAAAAGGAAAGCGTTGTTGAAAGCTGCAGAAACAAGATGATGTGAAGTGGAAGCCATCCAGCTGAGTATCTGTGCTGTCCTCTGCAAGACACTGTGCTGCTAGGGGTTGAAAAAGCTTTTGATGTCAAGGGAAAATGCTTTACATTTGTCCTTCTCAAATGGAAAACTCCATCTAAAAGGGGTCTTTTGGTTGAGGTTATCCAACGATAATGCCTAAAATTATTTCCTTAAAACAGCACTTAGGTCCCTGTGTTTGAGTGGCCTAATTGTCAGAAGTACCAGGCATCCACCAAGAAAATCCTCTGAAGGTGATAGGACCTAGAATAACTCACCATCTTTGAAATCAGACCACGTGGACTGAGCTGTCTGAATGTAACTGTGATTGCTTCAGGCACCAGCTTTTAAAATATTTCATCTTTCAGCAGATGGTTGAACTTGCAGGTTTGCCCTGGTGCGGAGCTCAAGACTGAGGAATGAGAGACTCCTCATCCATCTCCTGAAGGGATGCAGTCCCTGCTGCCATCTTCCAGCCAAAGTGTTAGGTCAACTCTTCTGTTGCTCCAGGGCTTTCTTCCCTCCCGTGGTTGTTTCTGGACACTGCTGTGTATTTTTCGTAGCAGCGTCAGTGTCCCTGTGCTCCTTCCTAAACTGCTGCATCATTTCATTTGCTCTGCTCTTGGTTCACCCCTCCAGTCACAGCTTTGTAAGGTGAGACAATGCTGGCTTCCACTTCTCATCCTCTGCAAACTGCACACAGTTCTCAGTTAACCATTTTCTACCTATTTAAAATTAAAATTGCTTGTGTGGAGGAGTCTAGGTTTAGTTTTGGGAACTCAGCCTTCCCTGTACTCCACGTGTTTGTGAGCAGATAGTAGCCACGTGTCTGCCAAAATTTTGTCTTAAGTGGACACAATTTTGAGTAGATGTTTGCTGCTGCTTTTTCAGGGTAATTTTCTCTCTTTTTCTTAAGAGGCAGCCAAATTCAGTTCCTTTGCCTATTGGAGCTGTCATTAGCTAATTACTGAGTCTTGTATTGAAGAAATATCTGTGTGTAAACACAGCAAGGAAGAAAAACAAAATACTTCTGTAATGTGAATCTCTTAACTGTAGTTTCATGTCCGTGGTTTTTGCTCTCTGTGGTATGCTGGTGTCTTGGAGCATGGAACTTATTTGTGTTTGAGCTCTTGTTTGTAGTTTGCCTGGTGAGTAACAGAAAAGAGCCCAGAATGGCCGTGTGTGAAATACCAAAACAACAATGCTTTGTAATTTAACTGCTTGAAGGATAAACTGATCAACTGCAGGCAGTGCCAAACGGTTCCCCAGAGAGGGTAAATGCAGGTTGTCTTCATTTCAAGGGTGAAGGATCTTGGGTGGAAGTTTGGGTACCTAGTAACCCACAGAGGAACCTTTATTGGAAGCACAAAATAATATTTAATTGAAAAATAACACGTGTCAGATCCACCCAATGTTATTTTTAACTCATGTGTTTAATGATTGAGTTCTTAAAATGTACTCCTGAGGTCACAATACTGCCACCTTCATCTTCTCATGCAGCTTCTAAGAAAACATTTCAGAGGAGCATCCCAGTGTTTGGTGAGGAATGTCACATAGGTTTAGAAGCTACGGAGTTATTTAAGGCCAAATTAGTATCTCTGGATAGATCATTGTGTAGAAGAGAAGGGGGTTTTGCCCCACTCTTGTAGTGTGTGATGTTGAAATCCATACTGCACCTCAGTTTCCTGCTTGTTAGAAGGGACAATAATGCTCCTCCTTTGTAAAGCTCTTGAGATCCCCTAATAAAATCCTAGTTTTCTGTCAGGGGCTGCAAATGAAGTTAAACCCCCAAAATTGTGAATTCCATTGCAAATAAAGTTTGAATATATTTTACAAAAATATGACATTTTTCTTTCATACTTTGTATATTTTATTTATATTGCTCAATGGGAACTGAAAAATATCTGTAGAGTGCTATTTAGAAACTGATTGTCAGATAAGATTCAATTATTTTGATACAAAATAACTTCCTTCAGAGACTTACTTCATTCAGCAGCATTTACAGTCATTTTTCAGAGGCGTTAGTTAAGAAAGTTGTATGCTGTCATCCTCTGCACAGTACAAAGGTTAACTTACATTGGGAGTTATAAGTTTGGGGAATAATGTGGCTGTTGTTCCATAATTGATAGCTGCTTTGCAATTAATTTCATTAGTGCTTTAAAGTGCCTCTTAAATGATTCACTGCCTGTTGTGACTGAATTCCTTGAAAAGCCTTGTGAAAGAGTTTACAAATCACTTAGAATAAGTCAGCAGTGTCACTCTTGGAAGATTTTTGTTCAAGTGCTTCATAGGAAATTGGTATCTCAAAACTGGAGTTGGGAAATAGCCTTAAACTAAAGGCTTAGCCAGCTAGCAAGTAAACAGAGCTACTCTGTTCCTATTTGTGAAACACTGAGATGGAAAGCAGTACACATGTATGTTTTGAAATTATTCCTGTGTTTATAATAGTTACTCTTGTTACACAACTGCAGCAAGCACTGTTAGCAAAGCATCCGCATTTTTTTCAATCTTTCAATGTAACAACCCAGATTTAGTCCATTATAGAAAAAAGTAAAACCGGCTGTTAAATATGAGCACGAAGTGGATGAATAATCTGGCCTGTGCCTTGTCTTTAAGGCTCATTATAATACATTATTCACAAAGTAAACTGAACATGGTGTGCATTCACTGACCGTATTAAGTGACCACATGGTTCCAGTACCATGCTGTGGAGCAGCACTCATGGAAATGTTACTGTCCATCTCGTGTATAATGGAATTTTTGTATCTGCTTTGTCTTCAGCAGCCAAAATTGCTGCTGTGGGTACGGTATAAGGATGTGAGGTATGTAGGATCAAGCATAACAGAGAAAGATCATCTGATCTGAACCCAGAGATAGTGCCTGAATACTAGAGAAGAAAGTAATGTTATTTTGTATAATTTAGAGCATCTAAAGTAATATAGAACTAGGCCAGCAGCATATCTGCTCATCCAGATTTCCTAATCATAACAGTATTTGTTATTGTTTACTCCAGGAATGACTATACCAGAAGAAGATGCTGATGTGGGACAAGGTAGTAAATATTGCCTCGTGGCAATAGGAAGGCTTCAGGTAATGCCAGTCTTTCCTTATATAAACTACTTCTGAAAAGGTGCTCAGTCTTGTGCTTTAGTTCTGAAGGATTTGCACAAAGTTCTGGTAACAGCCTGTAACTGTTAATAGGCCTCCAAAATACAAAGCGCTTTGATGCTGATGTGCAGCCAGTGACTTCCAGAATCACAGAATGGTTTGGGTTGGAAGGGACCTTAAAGATCATCTAGTTCCAGCCTCCCTGCCGTGGGAAGGACTGTTTCAGACATGTCAGCAGAGCAAAATGAAAATGGGATTGTGGTGCATGTGTGTATTTAACCCAACGATAGCAGCAAAGATGCTTCTGGAGCACAAGAACGTACAGACCTGCTATTCTCTGTGGTGTGTAGGGCTGAGGTGCTCTCGATTGTGAGAAATGTGGGAGTACAGGTGCTTCAGATAGTAGGTCGAAGTGGCTCCCAAAGCCAGTGATATGGTCCCTGCTGTTCTTTCCTTCATTCTCTCTCTTTGGCGAATTAAGTACTTGAAAAACTGTGATTGCAGGGGTTTTTCTGAAAATGGTAAAGATAAGGCAGTCAAGAGGCCCTTCACAAATAATAGCTTTATTCTCAGTGTGTATTGTAATGTGCATTTGAATGTGATATAAGCCAAGAGAACTGTGAGAATAAAATTTTACTACCTTTTTGTCCAGACAGTTGCAATTGGTGTATTGTATTTTCTTCCTTTGTCCATTGCTGACAAGAGTTCTGAGCAGAAGCTAGAGCCATTGCGGTGAGTCTGCTTCACCGCAGCAGGGAGGCTAATTTTCATCTTCCCAGTCTGGGAATTCTGCCATGGGTGAAGGTATTTGAGCCTCCTGCATGATTTCCTGTTGGCCTGCACTTGTTGCCATCTGCTAGGATGGCATTGCTCCTTCTGACGAGGTAGAATGACCCTTTCGTTAGACCACACGTGCCAAACCCATCTCATCTGAGGTGAACGGCCTGCGCGTTACTGCAAGTGTCGGCACTTCTGCAGAGCATGTCTCCATTGTGATGGCAGAGCTACAGAAGTATTGCATGATTTTTTTTAGGTTAATCATGCATTTAGAATCAAGGGTAAGGAAATTATGAGGATTCATATGTTACAGCTGCTAAAGAAAGATGATTTCCGAGAAAATCACATTAGTAACATGTGGAGGGACAAAACATCTGTTACGTTAGAAGAGCCATCAGGGTATGTGCGGGAGGGCAAGAGGAGGATCTGGGGATGAGTTTAATCACAAAGGAGTAAAGGAACACAAGTTAAAAACTCCGTTCTGTAACAGCAAATTGAAATCTTGCATACAGTTAACTAGCTAATCTGCTTCAAGACAGCAAAAAAATGAGATTTTGCTTCTTTTGCATGGGGACTTTTTCAGAGCCATCTCTGTTAATAGTTGTAATAAAAGCAGTGGTCTCATTTGTAGCCCCAGGAGGAATGAATGGATATGAAGTAGCCTGGTTGCACAGGTTTTGGGCAAAGAGCTGGAAGTGCATCATTCTCTCTGATAAGCTTTGAGGAGCATTTACAGGAGAAGTGTGGGGTTTTGTTATGAGCAGGCACTTGATGGTCCAATATCATCAGCTACCTCACTGTCTGGAGAACTTTGTTCAGGTTCTCTGGATGTTCTTAGGTGAACCTCACCTGAAAGCTGAGTGTTTAGTCTGAGCTAGTCCAATTGGATATGTTTATAGATAATGAGTTGTCATCTTATAGAGGTTGACCTTCCCATCCTAAAATGAGTGGGTTGAATTGTCCTCTGGAAGTCTCTTATTCTTAGTTGACAAGGGTAGGAACCAAGATGCCAAACTTGTGGTCCCACAGAGTGAGATGAATCCAGCCATACTTACATCCTTACTGTATCCCTCCTTGTTGGGAACTTGTGATGTATTTGCTGTCCTGCTCTGCTGTTAAGCCTAGGTAGGCACCACGGGGTGAAATATTTGCACTGCAAACTAGACTAAAGGCTGTTCAATATCATTTATTGATGCCTGATGTCATTTATTATTGCTTTATTTATTACTTCCTTCAGTAGCTTGTCTTCCAACAGATTTTATTCTTTAAGCAACTTTGACTTAAGGTGGCTGTTCTGTGGACTAAACGCTAGGGACTTCGTTGGTCCTAGGTAACCAGCTCTCCTGTGTGCATGGACATGAACGGCATGTCAGTCCCAACGGAGTTCTTGTCTAGGCACAACTCTGATGGAGTCATCACCTTCGTCGACCCAAGGTGCATCAGTGTCATTGGCTACCAGCCCCAGGTCAGTGATTCACAGTAAATGTGGAGACTGGTTAGAGCTAACGAAGAAAATTCTATTTGTGTATTAAAAACAAAAGCTGCAGAACATGAAATATTTGTAGCTTGATAATTCATCCACTAAATGCTGTTTATTTTTCTTTGCTGTCCATGCCTCTGTAAAATTTACAGTTTTCCCATTTGTTATGTGGGATATCTTTTTATAACTTTTGGATCCAATTAGAATTCTAAGAGCAAGATTCTTTAAACCTTGCTCAGCTTTCCAGTAAAGACATATAATGTGGGACATGATGCCCACAAACCTTGTATGTATGATTCATCCGCAATTAACCAAGTAGTCCTATTAAGATTGGTAGATCTAGTGTCTGCAAGGATTACTTGCAGATCTGCACACGTGGATTTGTGTTTTGGTCTGGGTTTTTTACACAGCTTTATGTTTTATTCTAGGACCTTCTGGGGAAGGATATTTTAGAATTCTGCCATCCTGAAGATCAAAGCCATTTGAGGGAGAGTTTCCAACAGGTGCTGCATCCTACTCCTTTTCTTCTGCCATTTAATTATTATTTTTGTTGTTATTTTGTTCAGAGAAGTAGCTGTTATTTTTCACTTCAGGGTATTTTTGTTATGCAGGAGTAGCAAGATACAAAACAATTTGTTCATTGGTTACTAATCAGTTAAGCTGCATAAATGGTAGCTTAAACTGCAGCATCTGTTTGCTGTGTTTTCAGAAATAAGTCACCTGGATATAATTTTAATTCTTTTTACAAAAAAATAAAATGAGTGTTCACTGCACAGTTAGAGCTGTTTTGAAGATGCCTGTATAGATCCCACTATGTTAAGTGGTAACCAAAAGTCATTTAGCTTCCAGGTTGATTTGAAAGCAGTTACACCCCATTGTAATGCTGGGTTGTTTATGACCTAAATTCTCTGCTAGCGTAGATGACACACTTCATACTTTAGTGGAGTTACACCACTTTACAGCAGTAGAGAATTTGGCCCTTCTTTCTATTGGGAATTGAAATGCAGACAGATGTAACAAAAGAAATACAACATATGGAAAGAGTTACTGATCTGGATTCATTTTTACATTGGGCCATGTTTACATCAGCTCTATCAAAGGCATTTATTCCATTGTAGAGCTTATTGTTTCAAATTGATCTGGGATATACAGTAGGAGTGCTTTCCCCAAGCCTTCTGCTTGTTGCTGGTCTTTTCAGCACCTTGCCTGCTGTACCAGAAAGCATGGCATAGTATGTTTAACCAATTGCTGACATTCAGATTGTCTGAGTGGTTCAGGATTTACTGACAACAGCCTATAGCTCAACCAAGTTTTGTTGATCCATCTTGCATTGGATGCCGAGATGTATTTTCAGCTGTGCAACATGGATATGAAGTGACTTCTAAAATAATTCATCTTGCTAACTATTTATTCAGGCATGGCATGCAAAAGCAGAGCTTGAGAAGCCTCTCTGGGGAAAACAACTAAATGTGTCTATAGAATAGGTTGTGAAACTGAGGGTATGTTCTCTACAGAAGTGTTTGAGATGGTGTAAGATATCAGTACTCTTGAGCTATTTCTTGCCATGCCCTCCCTCAAGTGAAGACTACCACCCCCCCTGCTGAGCTAGCAGAAAAGACTGTGTTAGGACTGTGCATCCTCTTCATTGTCCCTTGAACAGATCGAGCTCAAACAGCAGCTAAAGGCCTTTTAAATTACAAATGTTGATTCACAGGCAGGAGCCTGTGAAAGTCAGATGCTTGAAATAGACCACCATAGCCAGTCATCTCCTTTGCCTCACCTTGGTTGGGGGTGCGATGCTGCAGCTGAACCTACCTGATAGTTAGCTGTCACCAGCAGTCAGGTCTTACTCCCACTTCTTCTCTCCCCCTGACCTCTTCCCCAGCCTTCCTGCTGTCCTAATATAAGCCCAGATGGACTTGCGAGATAGACTAGCTAAGGGACTAGTCGCTTTTGCATGGGACTAGCTTTCGGCTGGTTCAGCTCCCTGAACTTGTGCCTGATCGCATCACTGGTGCAAGAAAAGATGCAAGAACGCTTATGCTGTCTTTCACTAATGCCCAAAATGATTGATTCCACTAATTCATCCAAGAGGCAATGACAGAGAGCTGCTGGATAATAACACAACAAACATCCGTCTCTGAAGTGACTGCCTGGGGCTCAGAAGGGCTGACTAACTAACATGTGAGTTAATGACCGGATCCTACTGTGTTCACTGAGAGTGAGATCAGGCCATGGGGGGCTGCTGGTGTATCCCTGAACTCCATTGCTGGGGACGTCACTGTCACTACTCACCATTTGGCACTACTCACCATTTGGCATGTGCATAAATGATTTGCTGGATCAGGGACCTACATGATTTCCTTAAGGCCATACAAAAAGGCATCAGGGAAAAACTGCAGATTAGAAGTGAAGGTTCCTGTTCACTCGACCTGTGTCCAATCTATGAAAATATTGTGCTGTTTCTTTAGTAGGCAATTCCTTTTTCAGTGTATTTTTGTTCTATACAGTAGCAGTGTGATTTGGGCTGTTATTTCAATCATGCAATAAAAGACTGGAGTACACAGTTAAGCTATGCACCAGGTGGTTTTTATTTCCAAAGAATGTAAAAAAGTAAAGGTTAAACATAGCTCAAAAAAAATTCAAAGCTAATCTTGTTTGTATGCACTGTTTTAAGACAGTTCAGGATTTTCCCACCAGTGATCTCTATGCTTTATATATTATTACAGAATTAGTGTTTGCTTAATTCAGACTTCAGGACAATAGATCATGGCAGTTTGTTTTATTATTGTTAGTTTGACCTTAGAAATATTTTCATTAAAAAGGTAACTGTGACTTCCAATAAACTTTTTTTTCTAAAACCTTCTGAAAATTTGACATTTCTAACTTGCTGACAGTATCAGAAACAGGTTGGTGCATAACAGAGGGAGGGAGGGTTTTGCAATTTTTGGTCAATTGCCAGTATCCATGTCAAAGCTTTTACTTCCTTGGGAAGATAAATTTGTTCATCAGGGTGGGAAAATCAGGCCAGAATAAGATAGTCTCAAGGCCAAGATCAACAAATAAAGTTTAGTATCAAAGGATCCAGAATACAGCTATGTGATATCCAGTAGGATGCTATTCAGATTGGACACTTTTACACAAGCTCTGTGGTTTTTACCCTGGGTGTGGTAGTAGAAAATTGCTGATAAAAGAATGTTGCTCACTGAACTCAGGCTACAAAAGCATTGAAAAAAAAATATACATTTACTGCGGTATTAATTTGAGTTTTCCTGGGCATTGCTAAAGGTTTTTGTGAGTTCCACTTGCATTCTTTCCATGTAATCCTGTATCTATTTGATCAATTTGAAATGCAGACCTTTGGAAGAAACAGGACTGGAGTGTTTGTCCTAATCCAGTTGCTTGTCGACAAAGACAGAGGGTAAATACTGGGTTTTCAAATTTTAGAGAAAACAGGCTGCAAGTAGCTAATAAAAAACAAATTCCAGTGGATAAGGATTAAGAATCCGCAACAAGATGTGGCATTTATTTGCAGTAGACCTTCCCTTTCCTTCCCTGAAGCACCCCCGAGATAGCTTAGTGGAAAAGCAATAAAAAATAAACACAGATAGCCCAGGTGAGTGCCAGCTGAAACCATAGAAGTTTTCTTCTGACTTTAACCAAGATTATTAGATAAAACATAAAATGCAGTTAAGTGCCAGTGTGCAAGTATTGTTTTGAGCATACATACTTCTTTAGCTGGCTGCTTCTTACTTCTCACTTGATTTCAGCTACCAAAGACAGAATTTGAACTGAATATTGCCAGACATCTGAATTCTTAGTCATAAACAAATAGGCTGTCCAAGCAAAGAATCTACTCTCAGTTTTCATTAATAATATTAAATGGGCAGTGGCTTATTGGTGTTCTCTCCATGCAAAGACTGGTTCACTCTTTCTTGTTTTGAAAGCCAGAAGCAAGAGTTTCTTGTTAGCACTTTGCCATCATAGATGGTCTGATCGTCTTATAATGTGTTTGGGAAAAAAACAAAACAACCATGGATGGTTTCTGGAAGAAAAAAAAAAAAAAAAAAAAAAAAAAAGAAGCCATCTTTCTTAAATATTACCCTAAATTTTTATACTGATGTGTGATTTGGTATATCACATCTATGAATGGTATAGCCAGGTATCTAGGTATCTAAGCAGAAATGCAGATAGTCAACCTCAAAATGTTTTTTCTTGTGGGCTTTTGTTTCAGCTGCAATGTTGAGTTTGTGGTTTACGTGTAAACATTTAAAAGATCCTCCATTTGGTTTCTGTCAATCTCTCTTGATAAGCATTCCACATTAAAACCTTGTTAAAGCTTCCCTGTTGGGATAACAGTACAACCTGTTGGTTATCCTGAATCTGTATTCTTTTATGCAGGCTGAAAAATGGCATTTTGTGCAACTAAACGTGAGGGTTTCATTCTGAAGGAAATAGCTGCAAACATGAATCACATTTTGCTTATTCTCTTCAAATTAATAATCTCCCTGCTGTCTGTAGTTTTCTGTAATTCAAGTTTAAAACACACCAGTTACTGCTGTTTACTATTCATTTGCCCATCAGGTAGCAATCTCCTTTTATTAACCTTTCCAAATGGTTTTGCAGGTTGTGAAACTGAAGGGTCAAGTCCTGTCTGTGATGTATCGTTTTCGTACCAAAAACCGGGAATGGATGCTGATCAGAACCAGCAGCTTCACATTTCAGAATCCTTATTCTGATGAGATTGAATACATCATCTGCACCAACACTAATGTAAAGTATGTGCCTTTCCAGATGTTTTCACACGTGGTTTGTAAAGAATTTAAGCATTGCTTTTTGCTGTAAAGCGCATTCTGATTTTTTTGGTAGCCTGTTCCTAGCTACATTTATTTTTCTATAACAGTGAAGTCTGTAACAGGGATTTTCTGCATCATGAGAGCTCACAGCATAGCTGTTTCTCTGTCATTATCCTGCGATGCTTCCAGGGCCTGGCTGCAGAGGGGGAGAAACGTCACTTATCTGTTATGTCATTAGACAAGCCCATTGATCTCAGTCCAGGCTGCCTTAAACTAGCACAGAGCTTCCAGCAGCAGACCAGCTGTCCTGATACTGGAGGAAGATTAGCCTAATTCCTAAGCCAAAGAGAAAACTGCATGTCTGTGTTCATTGTGATCATACCATTCCATAATCCTGGGCATCTTCTCCTTGGACCGTGTATACTCTTATGGCCTATGAAAGCTGGCAAAATTATTTCCTAGCGGGCTTGAGTGGGAAGGGTTCCTGTTACTCAGTTAAGATGTGATGGAATTATCCCCAGGTATGGGGACAGATCCAAACCCTTATTTTAAGAGCAGAATTAAATCATCCTGTCGTTGAATTAATATTAAAAAAAAAATAATCTGTCACTGGACCTCTTAGGAGGAGGTCACCCTAGGAGTATAGTGGAGGTTTGTCCCCGTGTAACTGAGCAGAGAAGCTTTTGGAGCCTCTTGAGTTCTGAGCCAGTAACTGCAGAACCTAATCTGGCCTTGCTAAAGTTATTGCTTTATAGTGTGGGGTGTTTTTATAAATAATTTTTCTTTCCAATGTAAACTTAGTCTATTTCTAACACAAAATCTGCTTCTGGTCTAACCAAAGATTTTTTTCCTAATTTTTATCTCAGAGGAAATAATTGGTTTTAAGATCTCAACCTGTTGGACTGTGTATTGGAAATGCTGAACGAGCAGTCTGCTAGTAGAGATGCATGCTGAGAGCTCCACTTGCACTACCAAACCCCTGGGGCTTTGGCATTTGAACTTAGAAAGCTACTAAGTGTCTCTGGGTGTTCCTTGACTTGCTCCTTTGGACATGACACCTAACTGGGCTTTCACTCACTTGAAACCGAGCATCGCAATTGTTTTGGTCTTTTCTGCATACCCAAGAAGTCAGGCTTAAACAACCGAATAGTTAAGCTCATTGAAAACAAGCAAATGTGTCTTGAAATCAGGCAGGTAAATATCTCCCTGTCTGCACTGTGCATGAAAATAGATATTTCCACATTTCTGCTGTCCCATACTTCTTTTCCAAATAATTTGTATATGCAAAACCAGGCCTGCAAAATAAAAAGCGACTTCTGAAATCTGTCCCAGGCTGGCTTAGTTATGCTTTGTTCCTAAGAGTCCTCAGATCAAAAAGTGGGACTGTAGACGTATGTTGTGTTGGCTCCGGGAATGTTTTTTTCCGAGCCTCCACTATACTGTTCAGCTTGGCATCGCAGCACTTACTGAGATGAATAGGACTGTGCCAGCTTCTGGCTCTTGTTACATCTCTCTTGCTAGATTTGAATAACAACCCAGAAATGTTGACCTAATATGGAAGCTGCCTGCTGCTACTTTGACAGAGGATGTTCCCTCTTTCCTGTCATGTTGAAAATGTTACAGTCTTACAGCAAGATACAGCCCATTATACCTCTGCTTCTGAATAGTAGAAAGAATACATTATTCAAACTGTTTTCTGTTTTTCCTCCGTTCTTTCTCACTTAGACAGATTTCCAAAGAGGACTTACTGTAATGTGGGGCTGTTCCTGCCTGTTTCTGGATTTATTTATTTTTTTTCCCGCATTTGAGGTCGTGCTTTGACTTTGGATTTCCTAGATGCCTTGGGGAGATATACGTCATGGTAACTGTTGGTTTCCACCTCCTCATAAAAGTCCTGCTGGGACTGATTGTTCCCAGTGTGCATGGCCATCTTTACGTGTCAGTGGAAGTATCAGAGGCTGTGGGTCCAGCAAAGTGCTTCACATGGAGACCAAGCAGGGGTGCCTTCTGCTGGGCAGTTTGTAGACAAATCGTGTCTATCTCCGTGATAACCTAGCCAGCTCCATCAAATACAGGTTTGAGGCAGTTAAAAATTCAGCATGAAATTAAACAGACAATGTAGCCAAAGCATCTAGGTTTAAATCAGTTTTTAACTTAGGATATTTTAAAGTCACAGTACATACATCAGTGAACAGCATTTTCCCAAAAGACTGTAGAGGGCAGTGGTTGTTCCAGTTGTGGAGGTTATTAATTGATATTTTTGTTGTTGTTGTTGTTAGTTTGGTTTGTTTGGTTTAGTTTGTTCCTTTTTTTTCTTTTAATGAAGATACTCCTTTGGAGCTTCAAACAGTCAACTTTCCAAACTTGCTTTTGGTGTGGAAGGATAATGAAACATTGGGTTCAAATGTTCACTTAGTTCCTTGCAAAAAAAGAAAAGCAAACTTCTCTCAGTTTCACTTGGGTGTAGTCATCCAAAAGAAACTTCCTGGAGAAATGAAGCATTTAACGTTTAGCATTTGTGCTGTGTTCGGCTGAAAAGAAGAGTCCCCTGTTTGACCACATCTTCCTGTGTAATTGGGACTGTTTGATTTCCAAAAAGAAATAATAATTGTGATCAATGCTTATTTAACATACACATAGAGCAGCGCTTGAATAAAATAATCTTTCATGGTGACAGATAAAACTGTATAAAAGTCTTTATATATGTGTGTGTATATATATATATATATATATGAAAGAAAGATATCTTTGTGACCTTTATAGAAATTCTGATGTTTCATTTTTGTAAGCTTCAAAGCCCTATGTTGTGCTGCTTGCATTTGTGAATCCTACAGCTGTCCTGAGTCTCAAGACTTTGTGTCTCGCAGTGAGCTGGCACAGGGCACTGCTGGAGGCAGCCCGAGGGATGAATCAGCCCGCGCTTGTGGGAGAGATGCTTTCTGTTTCCGATTCTCATGGGCCAAAATACTAAAGAGATCAACTGTTCGGATAAAATTCTGGTCTGTGGTAGTGGTGCTAAAGACTGACTTTCTCATGATCTCTGTGCCATCTGAGGGCTATCTGATCCCTCCAGGTGGGTGTTAGACAGACCCCTTCACTGGGATGAGTTGAAGCTGTAGGCTAAAAGAGGGAGTTTTTGAGAGTTTCTGAAAGAGGATTTTACAACAGCAGCCTCAAGGCTTTTATTACTCCCTTTTTGTCCAACCCAGACACAGGAAGCGTGTGTGCCTGTATTACATAAAAATAGCTGTAGGGATACGGTAGTATTGTTTCTCTCCCACCATAGAGACTGTTAATTTTAAAGTTCAGATCCTTTTTTGGTTACTCTTGATGCCTGGAAAAGGAACGGGTGACTTCAGTGTTCATAGAGAGAGATTAATTCAGCTGAAATCCTCTCCGGTGTCAAAGGAACTTTCCCAGAATCTTCCCTTTTCCTCCAAATACATTCACTGAAGTACGTTTGAATTAACTATCAAAACCTTCAGATTCGCTGAACCATTCCCTGTTCAAGCCAAGGGCTTTCCCAGTTTCATACCAAACCTGATGGTGAGCCAGGAATTCCTGCAGTACAGACAGAATCTTCTGCTGACCCAGACGATACCTTGCTTGCCCTGTTGGGTATCCTGTGAAACTGAAATTGAAACCAAGGATAGTTTGGGTTTCGGTTTCAAAGTCAGAAGGCGGTGTGAGTTTTGCCCAAACTGATAATGATCTCTTACTCTCTGTCATCTTTACAAAAACAATCTAGCAATTGGATGATGGAAGGGACCTGCATGTGTTGACCCTTCAGTTGAGAAGGCTGGTTAGATGGCAGGGTGAGAAGGAACCATGGCAGCAGTGCTCAGCTCTCCTTGGTCGGCTGGTCCATGAATTGCTGCACAGTTTCTTTCAGGTTTCAAGCGTCATTTGAACTTTTATACAGTAGCAACAAACAACAGCAGAAGATGCCAACCTGGCTTTGCATTCAATCTTAAGTGCAGCATAGCACTGAATTTGAGTTCAGTGAAGATACACTGAAGTATTTGGTTTTTATAGGAAATGGATTTGTGAGGTTGTTCCCAAAGCTCAGTGCTGTTAACACAGTGTGGTATTCATATTACACGGCAGCTTAACGAGTATTAGAGATGAAAGATAGAGAAGAGCGAAGGAATATTAACTTAGAGAAGTGCCTAGAAAACAAATAACTAGTAAGTACGCTGTTTTGTTTGGCTCATTTGTATGTATATGGCTGAATCAAGAAAACATACTTTATACGGAACAGAAGAGACCTAATGTGCTGTTTATTGACACACGCACCAAGTCGTTGGTAATAAAAACAAATGAAACAGTGTAATTAGCTTTCACATTACCAACAGGATTTAATGGGTGTTTATTGTCCACAAAGTGGTATTTAGAAAAACTTCCCCATAGATTTGCCGTGATTAAATTACCTCCCATAGTTCTGTTGGAAAAGTATGCATTTTATGCTTGCGAACAAAGAATTTATTTGCATTCCAGAGGTAATTTTCAGGAATTTTCTGTTGACTAAAATAATGTGGAAAATCCATGGCTCTCTAGTGACCTGGAGGACTGACTTTTTTTTGCACGTTACTCATGGGACAAAAGTGATCCTGTGTATTATGTGTTCTTACACCGTAAACTTAGCAGAAGGCTTTTGGCCATCTACTCCAATCTTCTGTTTGTTGCAGGTCACAGATTTTTGTCCAGTTTGCCATGGAGCCTCATAACTGGTGTCTGAGCAAAGTGTCTTCTGGAAAAGCATCAAGGGATGGAATAATCTGTTAGTTACTTCAGTAGCTTGTTTGAGTGGTCCCCCACATTCCCATCAGCTTGTGCCTAATTTGTCCTTTGACTTTCTGCGACATCTGTCTCTCAGTCCCTTGACATTTGGATCTATCTAGTTTAAAATTTTAAGGAAGATTTGGATAAAAATCTAAAATTCAAGCCTGTAGACAAAAATGTATCCTAATTTTCCAGAGTTTCAAATACATAATCTTGCTATTTTGTAAAATCTCATCTATTACCACCTGTCACATTATATTATCTCTCTGGGGGAAAACCTGTGACGTGTAATTCCTGTCCCTTAGGTGATTTTTCCTTCAGAAAGAGGCCAGAAGCGTACAGAAGTTTTGACCGCTGTCAAGAATCATTTGAAAGTATCAAGCTTATTTTCTTGTCTGTCCAACTCCAAGTTTATCCTAATCTCTGAGATTTGGCATAATATGAGGAGTTTTACATCTTCTTTGCTAACTGAGCAAAGAGCTCCACAGAGAGAGGATGCTACCTGCGCATCCTCAGGCCAGACGTAATCTTCCTAATTGTGACCAAGTGACAGAAAGCAACTGTCGATGGAAGGTGCAAAACATTCAGATAATTTCCAGCTGCCGAGGTTTTTGTGGTTACACAGGCAGTGTTTCCTGAGGCGCTGCAGTGCCAGCAGGACAAGTGAGGTTCCTAGTGACCCAACGGAGGGATGGTATCAGTCCAAACAAGAAAGCTTAAGTTTACATTTTAATGGTAAAATTATGGTCTTAATGCATCAGTAGCACTCTTGCCTTTCATGTCAAAAGGATTGGGGTTTATTTCTGATAAACTGTACTGCAGAGTGGCTTTTTGTGTAGAAGTTGTTTTGTTACAGTAACTTCAAAATTTCTGATAGCAGCAATTAATATAGCTGTCACTGATTTTTTTTTTTAATTGGGAGCTATGAATTTGTGTCCTTTCAGAATTAAAAAAGCAAGTGAAGAAATTAATTCAGATCATTGCTGTGCTAGATACATTGCAATTATAGAAAAGATCTGTACATTTTTATAAATAGGCAATATTTGCACCACCTGTCAGTTAATTCTCATGACTTCCAATGATTTTATCTGTTGATGTCGGCTTCACAGTTAAGTTTGAAGGCCTGACACTAAACACAAATTAAGGGCATCTCAAGGATCTACAGAGTTTTCAACACTGAAGTTCTTCATCCTGGCATACGGCCCCTAATGTTTATTGCCTCTGGCAGTTTCTTCTGAAGTATTTTTCTATTGCTGCTGCACATTTAATTTTTCCTAAACTCATATAATTGGATTAAGGCTATTACTTCCAGTGATTTTTATCTCATTTAAACAACACATATGTTCAGTTCTGATTAGTGTGAAAAAGAGACTTGTGTTTTCTGTAGCATTTGTCAACACAAATTGATTTTTATGTAATGTCTTGATTTTATATAGAAGCACAAGCAATTTATTTCTGGACATTCACTGCCTTAAAAGCTTTCAAAAATTGAATAGAATCTGGACATGGATCCTGAGGAGAGTAGAACCAAAGCATGTTAAATAGGTTTTATTACAAAGAAGGATTTATATGCAATTCTTTCTAGCTCAACGGGTTGTTCCATTTGGTCTGACACACTTCAGACAGAGCTCTGATCACTTTTTCTTACCGACTGACATATTTCTGTGTTAATGTTAATGGAGGTTTCCTGTTTACCTCAGCAGGATCAGTGAAGGGCTCTGGTATATTCATCGCTAACATGAGGAAGACATTCTTGGTATCTTAATAGTGAATTCTTAAATCCTTTATAAGGAGGTTGTATTCCATCCTCCATTACTTAACCACCTACATTTCCGTGCTATTACAGCAAAACTATTCGTGTGCCCTGTTACATTCCTTTCCTCACAGAGAAACCTTTAAAAATTTACTAAATCATCTGAGACACGTTTTGTTCAAAGTATAAAATAGGAGACCATGGCTGTTCTTTTTTGTACCTTAATTGTTTTTGTAATGAAGTCATTTTGTCTCCTTTGCAGGCAACTTCAGCAACAGCAAGCAGAACTTGAGGTACATCAAAGAGATGGGCTGTCATCCTATGACTTATCTCAGGTGAAATTTCTCAAGTTTTTATTTTTGTGCCTCTGATCTCTTAAAATGTAAAACAGTGGCAGATTTCAGCAAAATTAAAAATACATTGTGACTGTCCCTGAGTTCCTTTTTGTCAAATCTGATGGAGGGAATTACCTTCCTCTGTGTATCTCCACAGGTGCCTGTTCCGAGTATATCAACTAACGTTCATGAGGGTGGAAAGTCTGTGGAAAAGCCTGATGCTATCTTCTCCCAGGAGAGAGATCCTAGATTTGCTGAGATGTTTGCTGGAATAACTGCTTGTAAGTGAATGTCTCTGATGTTTAATTTTTAATACTGTGTTAAGCTTGGTTACATGATGTGGAGCAGAGCTTCGAGAGAATGAAGAGAAACTACTATGTAGCAGAGAAATTTCCAACCAACCATCAGTCTTGAGGAGATTTCCTAGAATTTGCCTTTATTTGGTATTTCTCCTAAAGATGACGAGGAGTAAATTCAAGGAGGGAAGGACAGCTTTCGTGTCACCAGAGCTACCTATTTTTTATTCTCTTTTCATTGCCCAAGAGCACCTTAAGCAGTGTTTGTAGATACTGAACATACTGAGCAGAACTTGTCGTTTCTATTTTCTTTCTTGAACAGCAGATGTGAATTCATCTCTCTAAACAGACAGGGATTACGAAAGTTACCATATAGGCATAAGATAGGCCTGCAGTTTTTATCAAATCACCAGCTTTTGTATATATGCTTTCAGAGGCATATGCTGCCTTGAAGTGTAATAATATACTTGTTTTCTGGTCAGTTGAGGCATCTCCAGTCACGTGGATCCTTGTGCTTTTTCCCACAACTTTTGAGCTTGTTGGCCAGTTCTTATAAGAGTGATAGAGATCTCAGAAGTAGTATGTTCTTCTATGTTTTGTGAAGATTCCTGTGAAGACAGAGTCCTTGCTGAGTGCCCTCACCAAAGGATTTCCCAGCACTGTTCCAAGAGGTAGCAACCAACTTGTCAGATGGACAGATGCAGGTGACTCAAACTAGCCCCAACCTGTGCTGCCTGTTGCCCTGAGACAGAAGTCATTGAGAAGACTGGCAGCTGAAGGGTCATACGAAATATATCTGTAGGAAGCCAGGCTCATTAATTCCACTGCTCATGGAAGAACTCGTTAATTGTTTATTGTTCTTAACCGTCCTCACTGAAAAAGAGGAGTTTTTACATTTGTTTTAAATAAATCAACATGTAAATGTCACGCAGTGCATGAAGGAAATGACCCACAGGGTTTGACTGCAGGGGTCCTGGGAGATGACCTCACTGCATTGGTTTCTTGTGTCTGGCTTGGCCTTTTCAAATGGAGGAGGCATTGTAACTGCAGGATAGACTTGATATTTTGTCCTCCTGTTGCTAGGACTTCTCTGTTATTCCTGTTCATCCTTGTCTGTCTACTCTAACAGTGAAGTCAACAGCTGAGGCCATAAAAAGGGTCCATTAGAAGGTAGCAAGACTCCAACCCTACACACCAGAATATGTTTTTCCAAGCAAGAACATCTTGCTTTTTGGCTGCCTTATTGGCTCTTTTTCAGGCAGCTCTGAACTGTTTGTGGGGAAGGGTTAGGGTTAAGGGTCTAGCAAGCTGTGAGGTAGCTGGGAGGTTATGTTCTTGGAAATGCCATTTCTCTTTTCATTCTTATCAATTTACAGGCTATGTTTTTTTTGGGACGTTCACCCTGTCTGAATTTCTCATGGGAGCTGTGATCAAGGTCTTCTCTGAATGATAAAAAGAGATGGTTCACAGTTAGAGATGAGATATGCTGTCCAAAACCAATATTGACAAACCTGCATGCTGCCTGCAAGACATTTGCATTATCTGGATACCCGATCTCATTCTCTGCTACATTCTGTAACAATACAGGTTTGACATAGGGAGATTGTTGCCATAATTGCATACAGCGGCCACACATAATTACAAAACAAAACTGGGGAGAGGAAGTCTGGCTTCACTGATTCATCCAAATGACTTGAAGAATGGGATGATGTGGTTCTTACAGAAAACTTCATTCTACAGGCAGAATCACAGGTCCTGCTGGGAGAAGGGCATATCACTGACCAGTACAGTGATGGGGTTTAGAAAGAAACAGGTCTGAGGGTGCAGGTAAAACACCAAAACAAAACAGGTTTTCAGTGCTGGACCAAAGGTGAGAGCAGAGAAGTAGTGCATAAAGTCCTGAGTGGGAATACAGCTGGGAGAGATGTGGGCCAGATTCAGAGGCTAAAGAGCACTCAATGTAACTCAGAGATTTTAAAGCCAGTTTAGCTGCTTGCGATTAGTTTAGCTGTTCCCTTTGTCTTGGCTTCATCCTGCGGCACAGACCCTGGTAGCTGCCGTGGCAACTCTGTTCCATTTGAGGAATTCCAGTTCATTTAGGGCACTCTCAATTTTGCTGGTGAGTTGTTCTCGTACGTCTAGAGTACCCACAGTCTCAGTCTCTTCTAACCCTGAGAGTTTGGTATCCCTGTAAAGGGTGGCCTTAGGAAATGGGAGATCTCATGCAGGAATGACATTACTGCAAAAAAGGCAGAATCATCTGGTCTCTTTCTCAGAGATATCCCAACCAGTTCTCAATTCTTTCTACTCCATACACAACCCTTTTCTAGACCTTGTCTCCGTTTCTCCTTGGTTTATTTTGTGTTAGAGCATAGGCTTGCAGCCCAGACTTGGTGTCTGTGCTGGGCAATGTGTAGCCAGTGAGGAATTTCTACAAATTTCTACAATTACAGAGGAAAAGCAATGACAGCTTGCATAAGTGACCTACGTGCTCCTTCTCCAAGGCTCCTGTAAGGTAATTTGAGGTGACCTTTTTATTTAGGAAGGTGAGATTGGATTCTTGTTAGGAATATAACATAATAAGAGCTTATGTAACAGAGAAGAGCTGGTGTGTGATGGAGGCCTACACTCACAAGGTCTCTAAAACCTAGGGAAAACTAAAAAAATACTTCTGTTACTTGTGATTTGAGTGGGCCTTTTATCCAGGAGAGTATCTTGTGAAATGAGTGGGAATCTGAAAAGAGCAAAGGGGAAAATGGGGAGGCAGGCTTGATTTCCAGGCTTGTCAGAAGTGCACAGCGACAAATGGTTGCAAAGCCATCAGCAAGCTGCGGGGTGTTTTGCACTTGGAGGTAGTAAGGGAAGATGCAGCAAGTGAATAAAAGGGGGTGGAGCAAACCTTTAAATTATTTTAAGAAAAGTAGTAGTAGTGAGGCTTCCCTGGGCTTTGGAATAATCCAGCGCCAGAAAATTAACTTAAGGGACCACATGGGACTGTTCACCCAGTTTCGTCTCATTCAATTAGAGATTGATCTCCAGTTGCCACATTAAGAGTAGACTATAAAAGTTAATGGCATCTCCATGTGTGTGCTATTCACTACACTACTCTGTCTTACACCCCACTGGGATGCTTGCATCCTATCTCATGGCTCCCTCAAGCCACGCAGAGGACAGCAAAATCCATGAAAAACCAGTGTTTTGCTGTGTCACAACTCAGGTGCACAAGTCTTGCAGACACTCGGAACAAAGTGCCCCCAGCCACCTGTGAGACCGAAATGCAGACAGGGGCTGTGGGGTCACCCAGGTTTGCAGGTGGTCACCCTGAGATCTGCAGGCGTGCCACCAAGCTGCTTGGGACAGTTGGGTACTCCTCTCCAGCTGTTACGGAGGGAAGCAGGCTGTCAGCTGATTGGGACAGGGGCTCTTTGACACCATTGCTGGGGATGTTTAACCCAGCAGGGGGTGGGCCCTCAGCTCCTAAGAGGCTGGAATAACAGCAGCATCCCTGGAGGGCTGCTTCTGGAGCCAGAAACGTACCCTTGCCTGCAGCCATTCCCAGGTAAGCCACAGAGGTGCACCTGCATCAGACCTTCTTCTGACCAGGCTTGTTTCATGCTGCATTCCTCCATTCCCCTGGGCAGACTCTCCCATCTTTCTTCCAGAAAATCTTTCTTTCCAGTCTGTAGCTGGGACCCATGCACCCATCACTCCCTGCCTCAGCCAGAGCCACTCTGTCTCCCATTCCCCTCCTGCCTGATGGTCCGGAGGAGCAGCTTCCAGCAGGCACAGAGAAGGTCTGGGCTGCATGGCTGGAGGGCACATACCAGTGTTATGTTCCGTGCAAACAATAGCATTAATGAGGTTTTTTTTTAAGAGCGTATGAAGTAGACACAAACCAGCTGTGCCTCTTTTTTTCGTACTGAATTGTCATATAGCTCTTTTGTGTCATTCTTAATGTGCTCCACGGGGCTTCTTCATAAATCTTTAAGAAGGAAAGAAAAGTTCCTGCTGCACATATATATTTCAATTCTCATGAAATCATTTTGCCTTCATTTTCTTGTCCCTAAACTTTTCTCTTTCTGTGATTTGTTTTGCTTTTGTAGCAGATAAAAAAATGATGGCCTCGGCATCCACAGCAGGAAACCAGCAACTTTACTCACAGGGAAGCCCATTTCAGCCAGGACATTCGGGAAAGACATTCAGGTACTGTAACGTATCAGTCCAGATCCTGAATGTATCAGTTTCTGTCTGAGCATGGGAGACTGTTCCCCTTCAATCTGGTGGAAACAAAACCAACCTAATGTGAAAGGGCTTTCTTTACATGAATGAACTTTGCTTTGTGTACACTTCACTCCTATGTGATGTCTCAGCACTTGGACAAGGCTTACAAGCTGAGAAGATTGGGATATCTCTGTTAAAAATACTGGCTGGTGAGTAAGATACTTGTTGCTGTGATGATGTAATTGGACAAAGGGAAGAAGCAGCAACAGATCACGAAGGGAAATAACTGTGAGAGGTGATGGGGCAGGCTCAGAGATTGGAGGAGCATTCAACCAGGTCCGAACATTTGTTTTACACTTAGAGCTGCTGATGCTTCTGCAGGCTGCCTTGGAGGGCATCAGTCTGGATGCCTTATTAAAGCATTTCATATTCTGGGACCATGATGCTGAAGTTTCATTCTCCTGTTTTAGACCAACCAAGGTTTTGAAAGTGAAGGAATAGCCATTTGGAGGCTGTCAGTTCCAGGAATTAGCAAACATCTGCAAACTTATGATTTTATTTAAACCAATGTGTTCTTAAAGTTATAATTGCTAATAATGTCAGTGGGGAGAAATAAAATCCCTGTGCATGTGTTTTGTCAAATTAAAACCAAGAATAACGTGGGGGGTGGGGGGGGATATGACAGTAGATTAAAGTGTCTTTTAATTGGATATTGTATATTACTGAATAGTTGACTTGCCATCTTGGGGTTTGGCATGTGTTTGGTTTGTTCCCTTTGTTAGTTCCTGATGTTTTAACTGTAGCTTTTTTCCTACTGCTATTCGATTACATCAAGTAATGACACATCTGCGGGCATTTCCACCCTCAGTGGAGTGTCCTCCCTGAATGCTCTCCAGGCTGGTCCATTCGGTCACTGAACCTGGACAGCCTTTAGGCTCTTTTTTGCAGATTCCTGGTTTCAAAGTATGTTTTCAAGGTGCAGCCCAAGCCCCTTAGATGATGGCACTTGCCAGTCCAGGGGGGAAGGTGTGGGCAGTAGGGCCAGCCCTCCCCAGCAGCTGTTGTGTGCTTCTGAATTCAGCCAGATTTAGATGGAATTTCTGGTCCACTTTCCCTCTTTGGAGACCCCGTGGTAGTAAAAGATGAAAATAAAATTTTAAAATAAAAAATAAAAAAAAAAGAAACTCTACAAAGAATTTCTAAACTTTTAGGCAGCTTAAGAAAGACAGAAAACAAGTCCCATATTCAAATGCCTGCCACGTTTTGCTTACCACTCTGGAAGGGATTTTGTCAGCCTTAGAGGATTCTGATTCCTGCTTCCTCTCTACTCAGCCTTGTTTACTGTTTTTTCCCAATCATCTACTCTCTTCTTTCTCTGTAAGATTGTGAAAAGAGACAATAGGGAAGGGATTGCAGAAGAGCGGAAGCTGTTTCAGTTAACGCATAAAAGCTTTTTTATATGTTGTGTCTTCATTTATATACATGTATATCATAGAATCATTACATTTATATATGACACATAAAATAGTAAATACATATTTATACGTATAAAAATAGATAAAAGCACATTCACAGTGTGTGGTTATATAGATTCAGTCGTTCAAGACTTCCATGAAAATAAAATGGTAAAGTGGAGCAGTCCTTCATAAAATTTTCCTTCTAATTAGGAATTTCTGGGAAATGTCTCTGTAGTGAAATTCAGTAATTAGGAAGCATCCAACATATAAACAAGCTCCTTTGGAAATACTTTTTCTTTTATTCCAAAGCTATTACGTTAGTTTATGGTTTTTTTTCTTAATTATTCTTTTGCTTGGATATATAACTGCATGCTCTTTTTTTAGCATCAGTTGGTGGAAAAAAGGAATTAAAAGTTCAAATTTTTAATATATAACACACACTTCTTCATTTCCCAGGCAGGAAACAAATAAAGAGGTATTTATAAGTATCATCATCTCATGCATCTTCATTTGGGATGGCATTTAAGCAAGTGTTTAAATATTGTTGACTTTAAGCACAAATTTAAAATCAAGTACCTGCTTGACTACTCTGCAAGCAGGCTATTTTAATGCATTAAATGCTAAACTAATGTGGAGCTAAGTGTTTCTGCACTGTGTATTAGACTAATTTTATTCTTGCAAGCGCTTTCAGAGAGATGATAGAAGTCTAATTCAAAATTATTTTGGCCTTTGTATCTGTTTGAACTGACATTTTAGAATGCTGTTTCCTGGTTTTGTTTCAAGTCATTGTTTATTAAGATAGATTGTGAACTTTTAGTTTTAATGACATTGACAAAATTTCCATATCTGGAGTACTGTTCGTGCATAGAGAATACATCCTACAAATGAGCACTGTTTCTGTTCCTTTAGTTCATCTGTGGTACACGTTCCTGGTGTGAACGACATCCAGTCGTCTTCGTCAACAGGCCAGAACCTGACACAGATATCTCGCCAGCTAAACCAGAGCCAGGTTGCCTGGACAGGAAATCGCCCACCATTTCCAGGACAGGTATTGATTAAAGGTGTTTTGTTTTCATGGTCATCAAAGATTTGCAATCTCTGTGCTTTTTACGAAACAATTGGTGAACCCCATTTATAAGGTGATTAAATGTACTTTGTCATTATCATTTGTGGTTGGTGAGAAACCAGTTCCCCCACTTCTATTCCTTGGCAGGTTATCATAATTTGAGGCAGCGGCCCTGTGCAGAACTGCATTTAGTTTATAATAGCGTTCATAATTGTGGCAGTCGCTACGCTGATATAAATCCCAGTGGAAGGTGTCAGTCCTGTACTTATTTTTCTATGTGCGCTGACTGAAATAAAAGATGACAGCTGTTATGCTTCAGTATTAAGCCCGTGGATTGAATCTTTCTTGGACCAAGGTCTTGCACCCAGCGATGTTACCCCAGTTAGCAAGGTTATCAGAAGGGGCACATACAAATCCAGGCATGAATTCAGAGCAGAGGCCACTTTGCCTGTTGCCCCTCCGTTAGCACTGCCCAGTGCAGCTCGCACTGGGTCACAAGCTGGAGGAAACAGCACATCTCTCCAGTAGATGCCCTGTGCTTGACAGCGTTAGCCCAGAAATCACCTCTTGTTCTGTGTCACAAGAAAAAAAATGTTTTGAAACTCTGTTAAAGACAAAGAATATGAAATAATCATGTTTGATCTATCACTAATGCTGCTGTTAATCGCTCTTGACTTTCTATTGTTTGGTAGGCTAGAATGGCATGTTGGGGCAGGCACTAAATAATTTTTCAGTTACTGGATTGTTTGCCCATTAGTCACAGATGCTTCTCAGCCCTTGATGTGCCATGGTTATTCTGTCACACCTGTTTAATTAAATCCAGTCGCAACATTAACTTTTTTTATTTTTTCAATGATGTGGAGGATGCTAAAAATTACTAAAAAAAACTTGCTCATCCCTCCTACTGTCCAAATTCTGTCCAAGTCAGAGTTGTTATGTGAGTGCTGGGAAGTTGAAATTCATTCATGTCATAAAAAGTACAATAGAGTTAAGCCTTGCAGAATTGACATGTCATGCTCTTGCTGTCATTGTGGAAACCTTTAGAAATGTATGATTGCATAGCTTGGAACTGATCTGAAGATTTAATAGCATCTTCATCATGTTACATGCCAGCTGGGATCTGTGTTCCTCCCCAGCTCCCCTGCATTTGTCTAAGAGAATAGCTTCACTTGGGTGCATGGAGTGGCAATAACTGTGCGCATCATTAGAAGTATCCAAACATGTAATCACCTTTAAATTCTATTCACTAACTGTGCGCATCATTAGAAGTATCCAAAGATGTAATCACCTTTAAATTCTGTTCATGGAATTGGTTAGGCACTGAGTTTTTCTTGGAACTGCTGAATTAGTTCATCGTGTGGGAAATGGTTTCAAAGCAGATTCTGGCTGTAGCATTAGACATTGCTGTAGCACATGACTTTGGATGAGACACTTCACCTCCCTTAGTCTCAGTGTACATGTTGCGCATGTCTCAAAGCAGTCTTGCAGTGTTTAGTCGTTTGTGTAACATTCTTGGAGATCCTATGACGAAGCCATTATGTAGATGAAAATGACAGCAAGTTGGTTTTTAATACCCTTGGATTAACTCAGCTACCCAGTTAAAGCAAAGTTAGACTGTTTCTTCCCTCCTCCCAGGGCTGGTGATTCACACTCTCTCCCAAGCCTTTTACAAGTCAAAATAACTCTTCTGCCTGTACTACGTAGGCAGGGAGAGAAAGCAGCTCATTAGCTTTGAAACTTCTTTGACCATTTACCCCCAAGCACTGGAGACTGTGGTCATCTGAGAACTGCATAAATTCTGCAAGACATACAGATAACCGTGATTTTAATGTGGCATTGCAAAATCAAAACACCTGGCAAATAAAGGTGAATTCTGTATACTTTCTGTATACCTCTCAAACCTTCAGTGTGAGGTTAACCCTTGTAATAGAGGTGAAGGAAATAATGTTTTGCCAGATAGCTTTGATGTTGACTACATGTGAGTTAATCAGCAGAAGAGCTGTAAGTGTTGGTTTATAGAGTGTTGTGTTCATTATGCAGAAATAAGTTGTCTTTGACAGAGATGAAATACGGCTGAGACCAGAATAACATGCCTTTTCGCATCTGCAGAGTTTACTTATCCTTTACATTGTTAAAAAGTGAGTCTGCTGTGCTGTTCCTCAACAATAAATCTCGTTCCTTTCTTTTACCCCTTATTCCTCAGCAAATTCCATCTCAGTCTGGCAAGGCTCAGTCATCTCCCTTTGGGATTGGAACAAGTCACACCTACCCAGTCTGGCAAGGCTCAGTCATCTCCCTTTGGGATCGAAAAAACTCCCCCCCCCCCAGCCGATCCATCGTCATACAGCCCCCTTTCCAGCCCAGCCACCTCCTCTCCGAGCGGGAATGCCTACTCTAGCTTAGCAAACCGAAGTGCAGGGTTTGGTAAGTTTTAAATGATGTAACACAGATATGCACATAAAAATGAAACTCTCCAGCATTAACTTCATTATAAATCCTCCAACCTGTTATTCTGGGGGGTCCGTTGGGAAGCCCAGGGGCTGAAAGGGTTTTGCTTTCTCCCACTGAGCAAGGTTCAATTTCTTTTCACTTCTCAGAAGAATGCTTAAGTGGCACAAATTTACATTCTTTTCATTTTTCGACTTCCCTGACTGCACAGTGATGTCCTGTTGCCCAGAGATGGCTTATTGGAGTTTGGCTGGAGACAGGTTTTTCTTGTACCCACACTGCTACTAACCTAATCAGAGTAGGTGCCATGTTTTTTCCTATTACACGCTAATTTAGTGGCTTTCAGACCATGACCCAGTGGGTGACCCCTTGGTAAATTTTCTGCACTCCCCCAGCAGAATAATATTCAAGAGTAAAAAACAATGTGCCATTTCAAAAAGCATAAGTAGCAGTGTGTTAATATGTGTCATTTTTCTCTTATCCCTTGAGAATAAAATCGGCGCAGATCCGTTGCAGAGCAGCCTCACGAGGCGCAGCCTGTGCTGCGTTGCCCAGAAGGGCTGCATTGAAAGGGAGCTCTTCCCACAGAGCTTATTCATCCCTCCATTTCCATTTCCACCAGGCTTTGTACATTTGTTTACGAGGCAGCGTCGCGTTTCAGGCCTAAGCTGCTTGGCAAGAACCCTTCCACCTAATGAGAAACATTTCCTGACCTACATCAGTTTGGATGCTATTAATAACACAGCCTTCACAGAGACGAGTGTCTTGAACCTCCGGCTGGCAGTAACCGTTTTGCTGAAAAGAAGCATCATTTGCCTCACTGAGTTAATTTCAGTGTATTGTTCTGAGAATAATAATAATAATAAAAAAAAAATTTGCAGCTTCCTTTCAAAGGGTAACTTAGATGAATTTCGTTTTGTCCCATAAAATAGCTCCAGGGTTTCTGAGTCAGCTGAATTATTGGTTGTGGTTATGTCAGTAAGGGAAGAGCTGTAATTATCTACTTCAGATGTGACAGAAACGCGTCACTACAGCCTGTTTACTTTCCTGTAAAATGTTCACTTTATCTGCTTTGCATGGTTTAGCTGGTAGCCAGAAGGATTGGGTTAAGCACGTGTTTCTGTGTTTTCTGAAGCCGTGACTACGAGCAGGGACTGACTTGATATGATCGAGTCTGGTTATCAGAGATCTGACATAGCACACACATGGAAATTTGGCATCCTTGGTAGAGGGCAGATTACTGGGGAGAACCAGATCTACCCAGCTTAGTTCTCTGCAGTGAGGGGAAAACAGGCAAAAATAGTAGGAGTATTTATATAGAAAAAAGAAAAAAAAAAAAGGATAAAATGTTTGGAGGAAAAGCATAAGCCTGGTGACAAGCTTTCTAAAATGCAAATTCTTAGAAGGAAGCATTGTAAACAAAAATTATCCAAAAATTTTATACCTTTGGGGCCAGTCTGTAGAAATAGGGTAAAATGAGTCCAGATCAAGTGTGAGCTGTGACTGTACTCATGGAAAGCGTATGTGTAATAGGTGACCAAATTAATGTGTGTGGCATCATGTTTTTTCCCGCTAGACTATTTCAGAGAAATCCATCTCCCTGAAATCATCATTTTAAGTGTATTTACCATAAAACCTTGCTGTTCACGTTAGTCTGTGAAATTTAAATGGCCTCAGACTTTTGAGAAACCATCACCATATGAACAGGATAATAATTTGCTGTAAGCTGCATGTTAAATAAATAATTTTGCAGCTGTAATATTGGAGGACAAGGTAGTCCAGCAAACAGCACTCTGCATTTAATACACCAAGGCTGTTGTCTGTTGATATTACTGCTTTTACATCTGCTTACAAAATCTAAAGTGTTTTTCTTAGATGAGTAGGTAACTGTGCCCCACTGCTCTGCAAGATTTACTCTTTTAAAGAAAAAGAGCATTCGGATGATGCAGTTCGGTTTTGAAGTGAAATGGCAAATATTCTTTATTCGTGATTAAAAAGCGGTGGGGGGATGCTTTAAAATTGTCTTCCTGTGCCTGGCTTGTGGTATCACTGTGCGTTTTGCTTTGAGCAATTCACTTGCTGTGTTTGTGCAGCGTGTCAATGAGCTGTGCCGTGGGGGTCGCCCCCACCCTGCAATCAGCTGCCTTCGGCTTCCACCCTGCAGGGGCTGGGTGTCACTCAGGGTCTTCTTTCTAAATCTCTTTTGCAAACAGAGCATTGATGGATGAAGCCTCAAAAGCAGGCAGGTTTTGAAGGAGCTGCTCTCTGACTTGTGCTCTTTCTCCCCCTGGCCAGCTGAAGGTGGCCAGAGCAGCGGCCAGTTCCAGGGGAGACCTTCTGAAGTCTGGTCCCAGTGGCAGAGCCAACATCACAACCAGCAAAGCGGCGACCAGCATTCGCACCCGCAGCCCAGTCAGACCGAAGTGTTCCAGGTGAGGGGAGTTCAGCGAGCCCTAAGTCCTTCTGACAGCTTCTCACTGCTGAGTTGAAGAACCATGGCCCTGGATGACTGGGGTGCTGGCAGGGCTTGGAGCAGTTGTGTGCTGCCGTGGGTTTGCACTGCTGTTAACTGACATTAGCTACGGCTCAGATGGTTTAGTTTTCTGCCAAAGAACAGCATCTTTTGCTTTGCATCCTGTACTTAGGGCTTATGTGTTTTACAGGGAGGCCATGAAATAGTCCCAGATAGAGGGTCCTTCTTATCCTGGTGCTGGCCTCTGACATCCCAGTCAAATCCCATCAGACATCAGTGTAATTCTCTTTGATAGTTCAAGCAGGAAAGGAGTCTCATAGTGCATAGACGATAGTGGCAAATAATTTTTTTAAGGTTAAACCCAGTCAGATATCAGATAGCTGGTAAACAATCCTCATCACCTACTTAATTTTGTAATATTAAGTATCATTTTGGGCCTTTGCTAGAGATGGAGTGGGACTTTGTAAGTTAACTAATGAGGTCTCCGTCCTTGTATAACTTGTTTTGAAATTAGATCAAGAAGACAGTTTGCAACAAAACAATGCAGATAAATGCAGAAAAGACAGTTCAAGCCCCAAGCAAGGTTTAGAAGTGGGGCACCTCATTATCTTTTAGAAAGTAAGTTCACCTGCAAGACCGGGCTCGTGCTCAGTTGCTCGCAGGAACGCTGCAGAAGAGACATTAGCCTGAAAATATGCCTGTGTGAGTGAACCATTGCCTCACACAGGAATAAATAACATCCCTACATCTGGAATAACTACCTGTCTGCATGCTCTTACCCCCTGGCCCAGGCAAAATTAATCTTTTGCATCTCTCTCTATAAGCAAAGTTTAATTGCTTTGCATTTACTTTAACCCAAAAGCATATTCAGGGTAATTCCAGTGGAGCCGATGGCAGCATGGTTCAATGGCCCACAGAGACCTGGGGCTCCAAGCAGCGTCTTGCTTGTGTCTCAGGCAAGTGCTGTGTCTCAGCAAACATGAAATTAGTGGGAAGGAGGGCCACGGGAGAAAGGGAGAGCTGGGCTCACCTGCCGAGCTCTTGGAGGTGACTGAGCATTTGGAGGGAGTTAGGGTAATAGCTGGATGTGATGAGCTCAGTTCAAAGGCCTCCAAGAAGTTGCTTGGACTGTCTGTGCCTAAAGCCCTGGGTTAGCTGGACATACCGAGAGAGAGAGATGCAAGAGGGGAGCTACCCTGTACCTGAGGAGACCTTGCCTCCCCAGCTGCAGAAATGCCGCCAGGGACAGAAACTTAAACAGGCAGGGCAGCTCCAACTGCCCCTTGGCTGGGGAGGAGTGTGGGGAAACATAAAATAAGCGCAAGTTTGAGTCAGAAAATGAAGGCTGACCCTGGCAGCTGAGTAACGGCCCGTTGTGTTCACAGCCTCTTTCACCACCATCGACAGGGATGCTACGGAGACCTCAGATGGATTTTGATCTGTCTTTTATCTGTCTCTTCTCAATACACGGCAGCTCTCAGTAGTTACTCCTTCACAGAGGAGATCCTTTGAGCTTTCTTATTTGCTCTTTAGGTTTTGTTTTATTGCAAGGATAATGAGCCATCCCTGGCAAACCTTGGCTTTGCGGTAAGAGCTTGTTATTGTAAGGACTGACAGGAAAAGCAAGCATAAACTCTGGTTTTCTCAGAAGGGATATCTTTTCCCTGTGGCTTTGGTCTCCAGCTGAGAGGAAAGGTTGAGTATTTTTGAAGCCTCATGCAGGGACCTCACTTGGCTCAAGACACGTGGGAGCAATGACCATGAAATCTCATTTCTCCTGAGAAGTTCCTCCTATTTCCTCTGCCTCTGTACATGCATGAAGGCTGCTTGGGCATCTTGTTAGCTGGGGTGGATGTCCAGTCTTTGGTGTTTTAAGAGGATGATGAGCAGTAATACATTCACTGACAGATGCTGGTGAGGAGGGGAGACCCTCCCCAAGCCCATGCTTGAACAGCAGGAGCTCCTTTCTGTAGGGTGCAGGAGTGTATGAGATGTGGAATACTTCCCATATAAGTAAAACCAGAGTTTGCTTCTCTGCATATGTAGTTACCCATCCCAAGGGGAGCTGTTTCAGCCTGGGAGGAGTGTGGGGCAGCTCAGATGTGCCTTATTCAGAAGAGCAATCCCTAATTTCTGCCCTGCTAAAGTCCCATCTCCTGTTCAGAAATGCTGCAGTAAAACATAAGCAGCTCATAAAGCTCAGCCCAGCCCCCTGCACAGGTCTGGTTTTCACCTTATTTATCTAACCTTTGGCCTTTTCTGGTTTTACACTGAGAAGATGAACAGGAAACAGTTTGTGTCTGGATAACATGTTAGCAAGTGACACTTTGATTTTTCCTTATCGTGCAGGACATGCTGCCAATGCCGGGGGATCCGACGCAGGGTACTGGCAATTACAACATTGAAGATTTTGCTGACCTGGGCATGTTTCCACCATTCTCTGAGTAGCTTGTGAAGCAGAAATGGAAGTTCTTCTCCAAGGCCATTTCAGTGTAATTTTGGCTCTGCTTTCTCTGTGTTGCATTTCTGTAGAAGCTACTAAACCAGAAGACACATTTCTCATGTTTCAGATAGTGGTGTAGGGCTTGCTCTCTCCTCTTTGGGGTGTGTCAGTGCTGACAGAGGAGCTCCAGCACTTGTTAGTGTTCATTGACAGCTCCATTTTTATTTTATTTTACTGTCATCTACCTCAGAGATGAAAAACTTTGATTCATTTAAAAAAAAAAAAATCTCTGAGTCTTAAATATTTGAATGTGAATGATACCTAATATTTCCTTTGAATGGTAATTTTTAAATAGATAACGAAGTAACAAAGACTAACAGTGAAAAGGTAAGGTCATGTCTTGTTACAGTGCCTACCGCTCAATTTTGATGCCTTGCTTTAAGCTTATGTTTCTGGAAGCAGACACAATATTCTGTTTTCTTTGATTCTTGTAGTTTTTAGGTCATTTCAAATGTGAGCTTAAGCAACATAATGTAGGCCTCTCTCATCAGAAGATTCAGCTCCGCCTTTTCTAACTTAAACTTGAATGTGTGTACATTTTGGTACTTTCTGTATATCTTGTGCTGTATGGAGTGATTTCCTGTACTGGTTTCTTTCGCCTTTGCAAAGGGTCTGTTCTGGAGTGTACTGAAAAGGTTGACGATATATGTGGAGGATTTAGATATCGTGGGAGTCTCCATCACTTCACATAGGTGTTCTTACTTTTAATTCAGGTGGTTCTCTATTCAGAACAAACATTTACTTATATAAGCTATTAGTCTGTTTTTTGCACTGAATTGAGGCCTATAACTATACATTTCTCACTGACTGCTTTAATTTCTATTGTTCTTGCTTTCCCAAAAATATTGCCTCATAAAAAATGACTGTAAACACATCAAGATTGCATTTTCTATATCAGCTGCATTTTCTTTCTGTGGAGTAACTTTTTTATACTGTGAAACCTCACATTTTAACAGTGCAAGGTGGTGGCCTGTTACTAGGAAATAATTCAAGCTCATTTGCTGCAAGCAGTGAGATGGTTTTGTAGTGTATAATTTTTTTAGAGTGAGTTGGTAATAGATATCAGTTGGACTATTGTCCACTACGTACACAGTGATAACTTGAATTTTTGCTTGGATTCCCAAGCAATCACTTCTGTTAAACCCTGTTAACCCTATTCTCCCTATTCTGTTAAATATGGGATTTTCAGCTTGCCAAGTGTGTTGAGGACTGTTGACTATTCTGAATGCTTTTCTGCAGAGGTAAGTTAGTCACCTTCCTCTTGGGCGAGTCACCTACCGTATGTCTTAATCAGAAATGTGGTAAGAAGTGTTTTATTCAGTATTTCATACACATGATGAGTTACAAAGGTTGGGTTGTAACATCAGCTTTTTTATCTAGAACATTTTTCCTGGGATAGGAGGGGAAGGAATGGCTCACAAAGGACAAGGAGCCCAGAGTTCCCACATGCAGGTCATTCATAACCTTTGAGGTCGGAGGGTGGTAGCCAGCCTTTGCAGAGGAGAGGGGCAGCTTCCCTCAGCCTTTGCATAGTCAGGGGCCATCGTGGACCTTGAAACAGCAACCCCAGGGCATAGCAGTCCACAGCAGTTCTTAGACCTCCCAGCAGTAAGATCTGCCTTCTCATAGCTCCTCGGGAATTCTGGGGAGCCTCTGATGGGAGGCACCATGCACATCACTACAGTTCATTTTGTCAGGATAATGTCTGGAGAAGCGGGCAGGGCCCTGTCCTGCAGCCTGCTCTGCCCACACAGGTTTCACGCTGACAAGCAAGGCAAGCAGCTGGGCTGCAGCGAACGCGACCCAGGGACGCGGCTTTAGCAGTGGACCTTGTGGTGGTGTTCCCATCTGACTTGGCTTTCCTGGCCTTCTCTGAGAACAGCGTGTAGTTTTCAATATCCAGGAAGTTTTCAGTATCCAGAACCCTTCCTACTGTTTCTCTCGCTAAATCTGGGACCAATCTCTTACCCTACCTGCAAGAGGGGCTAGGGACTCTTTCTTTAGGGAATTTTTTTATCTCTAGATGCAGTACTGATCTGTAAAGATCAGTAAAGATCTCCTGCTTTGTACTTGCCTCACCAAAATCAGGCTGAAAACAAACATCTTGTATCTCTTCTCTCCCAGAGATCAGGAAAATACTTTTTCAGGTGAGCAAGCTATGCTCTTACGCACTATTCTTTTAAATCCACGGATGTTTGTTCTCTTGGAGCCTTCTCCCTTTCTGCTCATGCTGCTCAGATGAATGACTGCTCATTGAATTAGCTGGGCAAAGCTCTGCTCTCCCAGAGGGAAATTCGTTGATGTCTGTGAAAGGTGCCTAGATGCTGCGGCAGCTGGAATGAGGCAGTCGGCATCTGTACGGTGGGGTGTGCTTTTAAACGGGGCTAATCATGAGAGAGAGTGAGAGATGAGCAGTTTATAGCTGTGCACAGAAGAGGCTTGACATGATAAACGTCACTTCTTCTAAAATTCTTAAAAAACATTTCTCTGTAAAGTGAAAAAATAGAGAGGAACAGCATTTTTTCAACTTTTATTTTACCCAGCAACTGCTTGAAGTATATTTATAATCAACTTTTGTTCCTGAATTCAATCTAAAAATCAGGTTTTTGAAGTAATTTTCTTTCTCCTGACATCAGCGATGATAACTTCCTTAGTGTGTCATGGGTTTTATACTACTGTAGGAGCCTTCTCATGTACAGAATTTGGTTGTGCAGTTAGAAGTGCACTGTTAGCAGAATTCCAAGCACATCTCTCTTTTTTTGTTGTTTTTTAAATACAGTATTGTGTTTTTGACGCCAGTATGCCTGAGGCATCTCCTCACCTTGTAGACCACTCCTGCCTTTCTTCTTGGGAAGGGATGGCTGCTCTGGTAAGGGGCAGTCTGGACAGTGCCAGGTTTGGGTTTTCCCTGGGAGCCATCATCATCCCCTGTTTCTGTTCTGCCATCCCAGTGCTTTCTTCTCGGCATTTCCACCCTTCCTTACCTCCCCTCCCGTTCCCGGCCATCCCATCTCTGCAGCACGTTCCCACGCCCATGTTGGAGGCGTTGGGTTGCTGTTCCCAAGCCAGTGAGGAGGGAGCATTTAATGAGCTTAAAGTTTGGCAACTTTGTGCTTCTGACCGAGCAAACGAACAAATTCAGCACTTGCTGCCGCTGCTGGGCATCCTGCGCTGCCCTCGCCGTGTGCTGCCGTCGTGTCAGTGGCTTGCTCGTCTGAAACAGCCTCGTCCCAGGTCTTGTGGCTGGAAATGCTGCGTGGCGTTGGCTGTGCTGTATCTTTTTGTCACGTGTTTCGTTACTAAAGCAACTTACTTATTCTATAGCTGAAGTTATAAAGTGCATTTGGAATGCTAACATTTTTATTACGTGCTGTTTGTGTAGCTTTGCTGGCACTTTGGCTGCTGGTTTCCAGCATTTCACAGGTGGTGAATTTCTTGTTTCTTTTGTGTTTTTTAAGCTGGAAATAAAGCTGTGATTTTTGATCAAACTGTGTTGCAAACACACAGGGTTTCTTGAAATGGAATCTTTTGGGTTTTAAACTGATGGAGCAAGAAACTGCAAATAGTAATGGGCTGGGTGAGTTATTTCAATGAGCGAGCATGTAGACTGAGAGGATTTTAGATACTAAAATATTTACGTTCATTTATTCAGTCAAGCAATCCTGTTTAACAAGAGGGACTCCATCACATTACTTGTTACAAGTGCTACTGGTGATGCTTTAACCAGATAGTTCCATTTGTAGCTTTGTTGCCTTTTTTTAATTTGAAGTACAGCATGAAACTGTAAATACTTCTTGCAGTACTGCCTTTTTAACTCTTAATTACTTCTGGCACAGTGTTAAATAGTGTTGGATTTACCCAATTGCTATGACATATATTTTTATACATAGGTGTACTCTTTTTTCGAGAATAATACAGCCATTTGGTCATTAATGCCTTATCAGTGTCATACTGCTGTTGCTCTTTGTTTGCAAGGTATCGAGTGGACTAATTTCTAGTTCAGATATTTTCACTTTTCCTGGCAGTGCTCAAGTCTGGCTTCAGGTGATTTTTGCCAGAGTCCCATTTTTCACAGTTGTTAGCTGTGAGAAGAGGAGAATGTGGGCTTTGCTTTGTTTCTATTAGTGGAGCAAAGAAAAGGTGATGGCGTCTGATTGTCTTTAAAAGGTCAGTCTTTTCCTACTCCAAACCAGAGTGCATTTCTTGGACTGATGACTGTGGGCACTGATTGCTTTCTGTCGATTAATGGTCTTTAAAAAGAGAAAAAAAGAAGAAAAGAAAAAAAAATAAAACAACTCCAAAAATGGGCTTCTGTCATTGTTAGGCACTTGGTTACTTATCTGTTTAAACTCTTCATATTGATGTGAAATTGTGCTGTGGATAAAGTGTATTTTGTACTTCTGAATGTTCTATATTTATGACTAACAAGTACAGAATCAGTTGTGTGTATGTATAACTAATAACTGCCTTTTTAAATTTCATTAAAATAAAAATGTCACGAGCTGTTGTTAATTCCTGTCTTTCTGTAAATAAAACATGACGTTGGGAATCATCAAGTAGGAAATAACCCTGAATGATAAGATTAAAAATCAGAAGATTAGGCATTGATGTTTGTCTTTGAAATCTCCTTCTGTGCTGTGTGGTCATGGATGGGAAGTTCCCCTTTTATCTGTCTCGTATAAAGGCTGTCCAGGGGGAGCGGGAGAGGAATGATAGTTTGAGATCTCAGCTTTTAAAAGAAGTTCCAGAAAAACATTCATTAACAGCCCTGTTCTGCTGATGATGCTGAGGTGTGTGAACTGGTATCTGTATTGTAGGGGGGTTCATTAGAGCACAATCGATTTAGAATTAATTCCTAGTCTGTGGCAAATTCTATTCACTCCCTGGGGTGGTAACACAGTGGGTTCTTTGTCCACCTTTTGGTCTCATTGTTCAAAGTTTAAAAAATACTTGTATCCTTCCCACAAACATCCTGGTGACCTTTTCCAACTTTCTTATGTAAAGTGCATTTGCCTTTCACGGTGGTTCTTTATTGTTTTTATACTGTACTTCTC